AAGGCACGGCCAGTGATCTGTAATAAAATTCATCATGCATTTCAATGTAGGTCTCTTCCTTCAAGTAATTAAGTAATTTTTCAAGTAAATAATTCGGAACCTATCTTTATTTATTAATTATCTGTAATGTCAATGATGTGCTGTTGCTATATGAGCTCCTGCAACATTTTTGGGCCGGATTTTCACTATGGTATTTTTGTTTTCATTAACTTACAATTTACATTAATTGTAAATCAATTCCAACCTAACGCTATCAAATTTCTCATAAATGTTATCATTAACAGTGACCCTTAGATTTTAAAAGACGTTAGGATTTAGCGAAGTGATGGGGAAGTATTTGCATATGCCAGGGATCCCCAGAAGCCAAGAATTTTATACTTTACTATTTAGCAGGGCAATTGAGTTGGAAATCAATGCATTCTGCAAAAAATCAATCTGCCAAATTCAACTGTTAACTGTGAGACCTTGTTAAAATTTTAACATTTCTTAGAAGATAGAAAGATTACGTCGAATAGTAAATAGAAAACAGAATCTTCTTCATCGTCACGTAATATTAATTTATCTTTAATCAAATATATGTATAAGGTTTTGTTGAAAAGATACCTCCCTAAATTGCCGCCACGTAGTTGTAAAATCTCCTAAAATCTTCTATTTTGGCTGGCAGGAACCAAGTTGAGTTCTCCGAACGCCACGGACCACAAGGCAGCCGCCTGATCGCCGCCCTGGGGTCCAACAGCTACAGGTTGCCCCTGGCCGGTTACGCCCCTAGAATTCGGTACCGGTTAAGATAGCTCCAGCTGCGCTAATTACAGTAATTTACGCTTCAAATTCATTCATCGTTTTTGTTTCATTCATTCATTTATTTTGCATTAAAATTCGTTTACATCTTGGAAAATCTTTAGATATCGTCTCTCCTAGAAGTCCAAGAGTGAAACCTTGATCGTATATAATCGCATCATACTTTTGTAATAGTGAAGAAATACAAATTCCACATCGAAACTTCATTTAAATTAAAATCATATTTAGCTATTGCATAAAATCGTGCAAGTAAATCATTGATAGTTTCCTGGCAGTTCATTTCTTTGAATGTGATACGCGATTCACCCGCTGCATGTGTTCGCCGTTGATCTGTCCTGAATTATGTTAACAATTCGTTTGTTCGAACTCAAAATATTTCCTCTGTAACGCAGGTTTATTAATTGGCTGATAATGCCACCCAGATGCATCGTACAACTTCAAGTTAATTCATTTATTTGTGTTGTATTTCCTGAAAATTCTTCATTTACAATAAACTGCAAACGAATACTTACCCAAACTAAAGCTACGAATCTTAATAATGTGTCCCCATCTTCTATATCTACCAAGCATAAATTTGTTACTTGCAAAGTGAACTGAATACTTACCCGCCGCTAAGCTATTCGTTCAGTAAAGTAGACGTCAGTAAACTAATTTAATTTGTTTACGTAAGCCCCGAATAGAGCTGAAGATGTGTCGACAAATTTGTCGCCATGCATATACCTGGGAAAAGGCGCGGCTGTAGTGTTTTGAGAATTGGTTGTTGAGAAATTAGAAAAGTATATTTTAAATAAATATTCCTCAGATGAGTCTTACTGATACATTGCTGTTGTTATTTTCATAAGTTTTGCTCATCCTCAGTCTTTGATTTTGGGCAAGTCGAACCCAATAAGGCTTTGTTAGGGGAAAGTCTGCGCCGTTCATCGAGTCAACATTATTATTATTTTCATGTGGAAGTGACGTGAATCTGCAATATCAATAAACTGGAATTAGGGTTATATACTTTGAATGCAGTTCGTTTGTATGTGAACTTATGTACTGATTTCTAGAAACAAAGCTTAGGGTTAGGGTTAGCTGTAGGCAAGACAAGAGGCAGGACGATATCGTGTACAATAATTGACTAAGCAATCGAAAATAGATTAATTTACCAATACCGCATTTCAAGAGAATAAATTAACAATCGTGGTCTCAAAGCGAAGATTATATTGCGTCTCAATGATTTACCGCAGCTTTTAGGAAGGAGGTGAATTTGAAACTGAGAAAAAAATCAGGTATAATCTAGACAGCGAGGAATAGTGAAGGATAGTTGGAGATTTTATATTGTAGAAGCACAAAAAAAACATATATATTGACGAATGAACCTTTCTTCTCAGCTGATTCACGAGAACACGTTTCCATAATATATGTTGAATAATCATTTAAATGAAAAATTCCATTAAGTAATTTACTTGGTGTGCATTATTAAAACGCAAATATGGAGCCCAAATCGAAATAAAGAAGTGACACATTCACACAAACCTAGAAATAGTGAAATGGCGCATCCGGCGTAAAACTATGCAGAAACTTTCGCGCAGTCCAGCGAGAGCTTCACTAACAACTTGAATACCTGGCAATTACCAGTCATTAGTCGGTTTTAAATGGACTCGACTGCCGCAAATATGTCGACTCTTGCATAAGCCCGGACAACGTTAGAAAACTGCAACAAGTGACAATGACAGAACTCCAAATTCGGGATTCCTCAATTGTAAACGTATTTATTAAAAAGAGGTGTAACCTTAATTAATTACAGGCTTTTAACTCAAAATTCAGGGAAAATCGGTATTTTAACTCATGCTCTTTAGCGCAGAACTCGGAAAAATTACGATTCCAGTGATATAGACCATCATTTGAAATATTTCATGCGTTCATTGGGTGCGCAGCCGCAGACCAGCAAATTAACGCTCAAATCAGCCCTGGAGCCAACATCAACCATCTAAATGCTATAGATATTGTCTGGCATGCATACCTTCATTGGTTCAGATGTACTTGAAGCCGATCGTGAAGACCTATCAATCACACAGAAACCGGCTTTCAATACTGTCAAGATATCATTAGATAAAAACAAATTCTGAAGCTCATACGATGACAATTTATAACCCGCTACCTCTTAGTGCAAATTCAAACAATCTGGACTTTTGTAAGTGGATGCACCGCTTCTGAACACTGCCTGCCATGCATACATTGAGCATGCGAAAACCTTCAAGTGAGCAAATGAGCAACGTCGCACCTGCCTGGTCCAACAATCGAGACTGTCATTATAATGTCCACGCCGAGGTTATAGATTCGTTAAAAAAAGTGAAACTGAAGGAACGCCTTATAACTCAGTGGAGAGCGAATTGGCACATTCAAGAAGAAGCGACTTCGATGATAACCTATACAGCCATGCGTCTCGAAACTTAAAGGATAAGGACCTACACCTGAGATTACAACCACTCGTAATTGATCCCATTACGTGATGCAAGATGTGCTGAAGCAAACTGGTTTGCACTCAATGAACCTGTTTCAGGATGAAAACGGCATCTTGTGGATTGGAGAAGACATCAAACGCTAGAACTAATGCAACGAAGAAAACACCATATCCTGCTGGCAAAATCTCTGCACAACATCGTAAAAATACTGAAGGGTCGCCTGCCGAAGACCACCACTGCCCTGGATGTAATGGACCATCATGATTCCTGCTTTCCAGAACGTAGCCTTCAACACTTCAAGCCGTCCGTATCTAGGCCGTGGGTCGAACAAGCCCTCGGCCGAACGGCCACATGTCGAAGGACGATAAATTTTGGAACAGAACTATGCTTTCTGAAACCTAACCACAGATGCGGTGAACGTAAAATTACGTAATTTAACGATGCCCCGAAGTCAGATTCGATCCGCGGCCTGGTGGTGCACGGCAGGTTCTATGCGAGGCCGGAGGAAGACAAAGCCGAGTGGTTCACGGCCTGTCTCTTATACACATCTAGATGTGTATAAGAGACAGCTGGAATACTGTTCAAGTCCTCATCTGTGAACACACTGCTGAAGAACTGATTAAGAACGTTAGCCTTGCCCTCATCAGAGGAAATCTTTCGTTGTTCTACTTTCAAATCAGATATACCGTCCTTTGACTTACACTTCGAACTAGCGTACAAAAAGAAGGCTTTCGGATTCTTTTTGGCATTCGTAATCATAATTTCATTATTATAACACACATTCATTCGACACCCATTCTCTAAGGAACAACTGCACTCTGCACTAGAAAATGAATTTGTCTTTTCGATTGTAACAATCTACTGCTCTTTTCTACGTTCCTAACATTCTATGGCCTTTGGGTTCGTGTTTGAACCCTGCAGAGGGCCCAGCTCTCGGAGCCGATTGATTTGTTCAAATCAGGTAGGGATTCGTCCAATTAAAACGGATAAATTTTCATTGGGATCGAACGAGATTTGCGCTCCAAGAATTAACACATGCTCTTCTTTTCCAAAATCTCAGTGGTTAAAAATTTTTCATTTAGAAAATATTTGTTCCAAGGAATAATCGAGGTTTGAAGTGTAAGTTGCGTAGTTAAATTTGTTTAATAAATTGGTTGCAGTTTACTGAAGATGCAACATCTCGACGAGGAAAGATCAGGCGCTGCCACTGGGACATTTTTCAATTGAGATGGTGAATAAAGAATGGTGTTTTTTATTAGGTGAAATGGACGGACACACGAATTCCTCAACATAGCCGGGTGTAAAAGAGTATTCTTTTATATCAGGATGACTTAATGAGAAACCGAGGCTATCGAAAATGTAGTGACAACACACATGTAAGAAAACGAAAATTTTGTAAATTAATGTGCACCCAAATACAAGAAAAAATCGTTTTAAGTTGACGGAATCGAGAAAAAAATCAATTCATTTTGCTCAGCGCAGGCAAAGAACCGACAATTTCAACAGTTGTTAACGATGACTTTAACGCATTCATGCCGATGCGATGCAATTACTTCAGCAAATTACATCACTCTATATTGAGAGCGTCTGCTATATTTAAATAATGCTCCCCATTTGTTTCACATCACAACAGACTGTTTCTGGCTTGAAAACCAAGTATCTGGAAAGAGTGTTCTGAAGTTGGGAGGCAAAATTTTGAGAAGGTCAATCTTAACGACTATAAACTAATCCAGACGTTTCAAGTGGCCGACTCGTAGATTCTTCTTCCCCCTTCAAATGCATCATGGCAGCAGCAATATAAAAATTTTCGTACCTTCTCAGAGTCAACTGTACGATACATAGTGGTTTATTTCGTCGATCATCAGGTTCGCTCATTCCCAGTCGTGGTAGCTTGCACGTCGAAAATAAGCGGAACTTTGTTGTTTGGTTTGTGGATTTAACAATTTGTCATAACTTTTCTAAGCTAAATATAATAGTAATGGGTGTTATTCAGCGAGTTGTGTAAGTATTCATTGTGCTAATGGTATGGAAAAATTAATACTATTGTACGACGTGATATATCGTTAAACGGTTAAAGTATGATTTGTAAAATAAAATTTTGTATGCTAATTGCAAAATAATTTTGTTTATGAAGAAAAGACATTTTTTGAGCCAATGCAACTATAGTAATAGTATATGATGCCTTATCAAACTAGAAAATGGTCACAAGACTAATGTAAATCAATAAAAATGCATTTTGAATAATAATAATAATCATGGTGCAATTCTATAGTTACCTAGCTTAGGCTAGCTAATATCACTTTTATCAGTAATAGCTATGAAAGAATATAGATTATAGTATTTTGAGATTTTGGACCAAAAACAGACTGTTCCACAGCACACTAGCACTCACAACTAGTTAGGAAAAGTCCTGTGTTTTTCTATAATATCATGACTCTAATATTGTATAATTTGGGTAGGTATGGAATCTTGCAACTCTAATGCGGCTGCGGCTGCCATCTGATCATGCCATGTATTTATCTTTTATTAAAAAACCGCAGTTTGCAAATATGTTATTTCATTAAATTTCAAACTATTGCAATTGCAATACTTGGTAGGTAGTTACTAGTAAGTACCATGCTGACATGCTCTCATCATAATATCCTACTGCAGTCTGCAGGATATTTTGGTTATTATTGGTTATGCAGATTGCAGGATATTTGGATTGAATGAATATTTAATTCTGCTTGGAATTAAAATTCAAGCAGAATCAGAAATAGGTACCTGGTCATGGCCATGCTTGCAAAGTTGCACTTGGGCTTATACATAGTGGCAAAGCAGAGAGTTTGTTAGACTCTCCTTCAAGTTAAGTTTCAAGTCCTATAAGTAGACCAGCTAACTGAGCTAAGTATTATGGCCACACTCAGGATGATGTATGTTTTCGGTGAATTTTCCCGCGTATTTTCACTTTTTTTAATCTATTGCTGTGCACAGTTTGCGCAATGTAATGAAAATTGATTCACTTGGCGCACGTGTTCGCGCAATCCCGGCCATCAATTCTACGTCGCGCTGCCGCGCACGAGCAGTTTGTGGAGGAACAGACGTAAGCCGCAGTTTACGATTACCGTACGTTCCGTATCCGCCAATATCTCTGCAAAATTCTCTTCCAGAGTCTGTAACTAATTCTACAGAATGAACAAGGTTATCATTACCATCAATAAAAGGAATTACTCTTCCTAATTTCCCAAGTACACAAAGGTGATCGCTATGAATTTGTACAATATCTCCTATCTCAACAGTATTACTAGAAGTTACATTGATGGAATGAGATCTTTCACGAAGTGAAGTCAGAGAGTCCAAATGATTGCAAGTTAAACATTTGAGAAGGATGGTCTTTTCATTCAGGGATGGGTCGCGAATATCTTCAATGTCAATGGGTTTGGAATTTACCTGATTTGACGACCATTAATCAATAGTGATGGTGTTATTGGTTGTGAATCATTGATATTCTGTAAGATAAGTCAATGGTCTGTTGTTTATTTTTGCTTCATTTAAGCAATTATGGTTTCCAAATCTGATTGCGTTATGTTACGTCATGTATACTTTGAATGTGAAAAATTATAACTATAATATGAAATTTGTTACGTAGGTTATCATAGAATGAATCACAGTAGAGTATCAAAATTGCAGTTCTGCCACCACCCTTCATTGAATTATCCCACCTTGTTTCTAAAATTCAACAATCTCTCTTCTAGCAAAGTTTGCGAAATTCATTATCTACATAAAATACTCTGCAGCAGTGGTCGAGTTCCAGTTGACATGACATCTGTTTGCTTGTTTGACAGTAATTTTGTAAAGGTTGCTTCAGATAAACTAATCATTGCCATTCCCATGTTTCACCCTCAATGTAACGTAGCTAACAATACTGAATGGCATTATTCATATAAACTTGTATCTATTAAACTTTTACATCTTGAGATCTGATGGAAGCGGTGAGCGTCCCTAACAATAGGGGGTTTTTTTTGGAACCTTTATTGTTTTGGAGGGGGGTTTGGCCCCAAAAAATATTTCAACATGGCTATAATTAAAAAATATAATTCCTTGTAGTTAATAAATATGAAATCTCTCTGTTAAAAAGTTAGATTTCATTGGTCAATAAAGTTTATATAAACTACACGAGTCGAACCAACAATATTAAAATACAAGACATGTCCGGGTTACTTCTGACGTTCCGCTTATCGGCTACAGAACATACGGTAATCGTAAACTGCGGCTATTAGAGACACGGAATGTAAACAGGCGGTGTTGACATATGCTTGGAGAAAATTTCTTCTAAAATAAAGTTCTAGATTTCTCATTCACCAAATTTCCGTGTCAAGAAAAATTATACGTTACTGAAGGATAATTAAAGGCATGCTGTACTGAGTATTTGTCTGTTCCTCAACAAACTGCTCGTGTGGCGTAGAATTGATAGCCGGGATTGCGCAAGCGCCTGCGCAAAGAGAAAATATTTAGATAATTTTGCACAAACTGCGCGGTCCTATGACTTCCAAAAACTCATTCCCCAAAAACATACATCATCCTGAGTGTGGCCTCAATGGCAAATAAGAGCATCTATTTGGAAGGAAAGAAAGAGTTCAAATTCTAAATCTGATCTTCAAACTTGAAGTGTTGAATGATGCATATTCTTACCAGCAGTATGTTTTAAACTGGCAATGCTTGCGTGTGGTCGATGCCTGCCTTGCCAGTTCCAAACTTCCATTGTCATCTTCACAGAGCAGAACCGACTAACGTTGGAGCCAGAGATGTGTGAAAACTAATTTTTTTTAATGTAAATTTAATTGTAAACCAAGTTATATTTTGACTGCTTACCACTGGCATTCATAAAATTGTGAAGTGGCCAATGCAATGCACAAGTGGCCTACACAATTAAATAATCCCATCCTTCTAAGGCCACTGGACCAAACAAACTAACCATCTTCCACCTCAAATATCTTGGACCTATTGGAATTAGTTATCTGACACGCCTTTTCAATGAGTCCCTCTGAACAGGTTGAATTCCTGACATTAACAAATCCGCCAAAATCATACCACTGCTCAAACCCGGTAAACCGGACAATGACGCTAAATCCTGCCAACCAATCTCCCTGCTTTGCTTGCCATCAAAGTCCTGGAAAGATGTTTGCTACCTATTATCACCCAACACCTGCCCCTAGCCAATCATCAACAAGGATTCCAGCCTGGATATTCAACCACGTCTGCACTCACTCTTCTCTCTACAGACATCATCTACGGTCTGAACCAAGAGGCCTGCTCACCAAACCATTATCGCCGCACTGGACCTCACCAAAGCTTTTGACACTCAACCTTCGGATACTAATCGACGACCTTCTCGCCTTCCCACTACCCAGACCTATCACCCACTCGATCTCCAACTACCTACATGGTCATTCTGCCTCAACGGAATTCCGCCATCAAAACTCTTAACACTAAATAATCCACGCATGTGTTCCACAGGGCTCTGTCCTGTCTCCTACCCTCTTCAATTACTATGTCTCCAAGGCACCCCATCCACCATCCAATATCAAGATCATCTCCTATGCTGACAATTTCACAATCTACATCACTGGTCCCAATGCTGACATTCTCACCCAGCAACTCAATGATTACCTCCCTCAACTCTATAACTTTTTCACTCACCATAACCTGGAAATCTCTGCCAGCAAATCAACAGTCACCTTCATTACACCACACATGGCCCAGTACAGTCACCACCCTCAAGTCAAGATCAACAATCAACTACTCCCACTATAACACAACCCAAAAATCCTTGGCTTAACCTTTGACACCATGCTCACCTTTACCACCCACCACAGAACCACTGCAGCAAAAGCCTCAAAACGTAACAACATACTGAAAGCACTCTCAGGCACCTCCTTTGGACAAGCCATGGAAACTCTACTACAAACATACAAAACCATCGGCCGCCTAATAATTGAGTACGCCTGCCCAGCCTGGTCTCCTGTCACCTCTCCTACCAACATCACCTGCCTCCAAACAGTTCAAAACTCTGCTCTGAGAACCATAACTGGTTGCCACTACACAACTGCCAAACATCTTCACTCTGAATGTCAAATGCTCACTGTTCAGCAACACATGGACCTCCTCTCAGCCCAGTACCTTCTGCAGAGCCACCTCCCTCAACACCCCTGCCACCAAATCACAAGACCGCACCCCCAATCCAGCAACATAAGAGATACTCTTTTCACCAAATGCATAAATGCAGTTCAACCTTCACTCCCAACCAATATTAACAGTGCCACCCTCAAAGCAGCTAGCAGCACTCTCCATTCCAATGCTGCCCAAGCTGCCACAGACTCATACCACCCAGTACAGCTCAACAGCTGGCCTCCTCCATGCCCAGAAATAGATAAATCTGAACAAACACTTCAAAGATCCGCAAGACAAACATTGGCGCAAATTTGCTCCGGCCACTGTATACTCCTGAACAGCTGTAAAAGCAGAATTCATAATAACATAAAATAACCTGTGCAACTACTGCCACCTTTCCCTGGATGATGTGCCCCACCTCTTTGACTGCCCTAACAACACAACACCCCTCGGCACCATAGACCTTTGGAGGGACCCAAATGCGGTTGTGCGCTGGCTCCAGCGACGGCTAGACCAGTGACGCCAGGATCTGGCGCGGGGCAACAACAACAACAACAACATAGAATTGTGAAGCAAGGCATATGCTTGATTTGCATTCAGAAATCGTATGTTCACCCTAGAAAAAAACGTGTTCTCAATTGCCACTAAGCATAGTGGCAATCGAGAACATGTTTTGGTGAGTTGGTATACAATGGAATTGACGCTCTTTCTGCATTTTCTTCAAAATTTGGAAGTATCAATATATATATTTATTTATTTTGGCAACTTGATTAAATTTAATTAAATTAAATTTTTATGTTTCTAATTTTTCATTTGCATAAACTGAATTTTAATTATAAAGAAAAATTTTGTGTACTGATCACATTTCTTGAACTCTTCAAGTGCGATTTAAACCTTCAATAGGCAAAATTTGCAGAAATTCATATAAATAAATATATTGTATAATACTTCTTACTTTCTTGAAATGGTTTCTGAAATTTTAATTTCTGGATATTTCAATGCTTGCCCGCTAAAGGGTTAAAAGAACATGGTATTTCAAGATTTTGAACTGATCATCAATGTTTACAGACTGCTTAACAGTGCACAGCACACTAACACCACCTCTCAAGACATACAATGGTGTACTAAATAAACATTACTCAGCATTGGTCAACAACAGCAAAAGTTCCAGGGATCAACCGACAAGAAATTTGAAGAAAGTACCAATCAAAGTCAGGTTTAATGCCTAAATAATATCAAATATTCAACTTTATGCATGGATTTTAATGCTGTTAACATTGAGAAACTTTTAAGGAAGTCTCTCATATGGTGGTCTTCTAAATGACTATCTACCTATGGAATTTAGGAGCAGGCCGGGTAAAATGGGAGTGCACACCCTAGAAAATTAGTGGATGTCCTGACAGACTGCACTACAACGCTTCAACAAGAAAATCACTGTAATTTCCTCGACATTTACCACTCATGAACTACTACTTAAATCCTGTCCTCATGTGTGGAGTGCACTGGACATGGTGGTGACTGTCCAGATCCTGGAATTCCACAATGTTCTCTTATCATATGCAATTGGAAAAAAACTGTAATTTGACTATATTCAATTGTAACCGCTTCTAGAATCTGTTAGTCCATTTGGTCTGGTCAAATGTATGGCAAACAAAAGTCTATTGACATTGATTGAAAATTTAAAGATCTAAACATGTGTTTATGCTGCTGATTTAGCAGAATTTTTTTGCCCCCATATTTCTATGCTTTGATATAAGTGAAATTCATCACCTGGAATGATAATTTTCAAGTAGAATGGGAAAGCTCATCATGTGAATTCTCCATTACTATTCTGTATTAACTAAGTCTTCAGCAAAAAGTTTTCTATGAACTGAGTGATGAGAAAAAATAAAACAAAAAGTAATATTCATTCTATTAAAAGTAGAATAAAATTAGTAACATAGAATGAATTTTATTTGTTGGTATTCAATGATAATAAGTATTGATTTTTCAATTTTATAAAATTTAATAAGAAGTGAAGCATATTTCAAGTCTAGAATGGCTCGTGTAAAGATTGCAGCAGCAACCAAAGAACTACTTTCTTGTTTAATATGATTTACCAATAAGATGTCAAATTCTATTTAGGCATAGTTTGTTAAAGTGTTCCAGCAACATATTTTCTGTTAGGTCCTAATTATTTATTTATTTTTGGCCCACAAAATTGCTTCATGTGATGTCACATGAGGCGTATCACGTGTGATGTCATCGCAAGCTCCGCCTCAGTAGTCCAAACTCTCTTGTTGTGACTTGTGAAGCTTTCAGAGCAAATATGGCAATGCATTCTCCATGTTTCAACCTCCGTTTCCTGATAGCAGTTATTGTGAATATTTTTTAATGTGATATTGTGAATCGTGAATTCAATTGTGATATTGTCAACAGTCTAATGTTGCACTTCTAACATCTTGAGATACACATTTGCAAAAATGCAAGCCAGTGCTTTTCTTAAGCTAAAGTGGTGTGAATTGTAAAACTCAAAATATGAACAAACGAGTGCTTGAAATCATAACCTAAATAAGTAAGCAAACTATTTTACTGCTCAATTAATCAGTTTATTAATTTACTTTGTGAATCATCATTGTATTGTATTTGCTTAGGTATTAGTAATTCCGGTCACTGGGTGCTGGTATCACTAAGTTTAATTTAACAATTTTATTGACAATTTTGTTGTATAATTATAGTAATTTTTGCCAATGACCATAAGAATATAAGTTGCCAGATTTATTAGAAAGTTATAATGATTGAACCTTGGTGCAATAAATATCAATAAGGATGATTCAAGGACATTTGCACAGTTGCACTATAATTATTCTATCTGATATTGACTGAATCTGAAATTTCCACATTAGTGAGGTCATGAGTCCATGCAGGCCATGGAATAGATAAAAAAGTTTAAATTCTTGAAATGTAAATTATGTACAAAATTTAAATTTATGAATGGACAATAAGTGTGTGTTTAGTCAAATTCATGTTTATAAAAAATTTTTTGATGCAGATGCCTATAGTTTGACTTATTATTGTAATTGTAGGAAGCAGTGAAGTTTGATAAAAAGTCAAATATGGTCTAGTCTCACAGATTATGCCAGGTTAACCTTGAATTTTTGAATGAGTTATATTAAACCATTTTATTACTCATATAGGTATGTGATTAAGCATCTCAAGCATCTTTCCTAGAATATGCAAAATATGCCAATGATTTATTATGTTCATAAAAATTTATTAAGTGATGAAAAATTTGTTACACAGTTCCTCTCGGCAGGACAGTTTCCTTAGATTTGTCAGATTTTTTTCTCTCACAATCATATACTAAGCAGGGTTGGCAATGATTAAATCAAAATGATTAAATCATGTGATTAAATCACTTGATTTTTTTATAAAAAAATCATGATTTTTTTTATTTTTTCGATTTTTTTGATTTATTTGATTTTTTCATATATTTAAATATATTGAGTGGCAGTCTTTAATTTATATNTTAATTTACTTTGTGAATCGTGATTGTATTGTATTTGCTTAGGTATTGGTAATTCCGGTCACTGGGTGCCAGTATCACTGAGTTTAATCTAACAATTTTATTGACAATTTTGTTGTATAATTATAGTAATTTTTGCCAATGACCATAAGAATATAAGTTGCCAGATTTATTAGAAAGTTATAATGATTGAACCTTGGTGCAATAAATATCAATAAGGATGATTCAAGGACATTTGCACAGTTGCACTATAATTATTCTATCTGATATTGACTGAATCTGAAATTTCCACATTAGTGAGGTCATGAGTCCATGAAGGCCATAGAATAGATAACAAAGTTTAAATTCTTGAATTGTAAATTATGTACAAAATTTAAATTTATGAATGGACAATAAGTGTGTGTTTAGTCAAATTCATGTTTATAAAAAATTTTTTGATGCAGATGCCTATAGTTTGACTTATTATTGTAATTGTAGGAAGCAGTGAAGTTTGATAAAAAGTCAAATATGGTCTAGTCTCACAGATTATGCCAGGTTAACCTTGAATTTTTGAATGAGTTATATTAAACCATTTTATTACTCATATAGGTATGTGATTAAGCATCTCAAGCATCTTTCCTAGAATATGCAAAATATGCCAATGATTTATCATGTTCATAAAAATTTATTAGGTGATGAAAAATTTGTTACACAGTTCCTCTCGGCAGGACAGTTTCCTTAGATTTGTCAGATTTTTTTCTCTCACAATCATATACTAAGAGTGGCTTTCCTGTTCATGTAGAATTAATTATGATTTTTAATTACAGGAAACCTTCAACACAGCGTGGCAAACGAGCTCTAGAAGCAAGAGCACCCAAAGTCATAGAAAATGACAAGAAAACTTTATTCATCCATGGGCAGAAAACCAGTCCAATTGGCAGAGATTTTTTGAAATCTATTGTGAGTTAGCCTGCTTGTGGACTGATTTCCTCTATTTTTCCAGATTTGTATTCCCATTAAATAGTATATAAATGGAAACTAAAAAGCAACTTGCAATATTTTTTCCTGTTATAATTTCTACTAGAGAATGGATTTAAAGCTGAATCCTCTTGATATTTTGAATTTTCTTTGTGCAAAATGTGCTGTAATGTTCTGTGTCTTTTTCAGTATGCATTCAAAAGGATCAATTCTATTTATTTTGGACGGAAAAACCCCATTTTCCCCTTTGAAGAGGTTGAGAAACTTGAAAGGCTCTCAAAGTTGAATGATACTTCACTTTTTGCCCTCACCACACACTCAAAGAAGAGGCCCAATAATGTTATTTTGGGTGAGTTGCGAGTTGAATGTTAGAAGCAATGGGACTTCATTGTTGTTTTTTCTGGCACCATTTGTCAATGGAAAAACGGTATCTTTGTTTGCATCGATTATTTTTGCCCTTATTTTGCCAATTTTGCCCTTGCCTTTTGCCAATTTTGCCCTTATTTCAATGCTGGATGTGAAAATCAAAAAAATTATTTACACTCAAAATGAAGGTTAAAGTCTTTCAACAAGAAGAAATTTCTTTTCATGTCATTTTATAGAAGAAATGTATTTGAAACAATTAGAAAATTAAAAAAATTGAAATATTTATTCAAAAACAATCTAAATCCTAAATGTCAATGCAGATCTCATCAACTACCACTTCTTGTTTTTCCTAAGGAACTTTCATCAACCAAGTAATGTGTAATTTATCAACCAAGTAATATGTAATTTGTAAAGACCAATGTTAAATTTGGGGTATAGTTAATTGTAACAATTTTGTGCAGATGATTTGTATTAATAACTCTGATTATTTGGATGCAGGTCGATTGTTCAACCACCAAGTGCTTGATATGATGGAGCTGGGTATTTCTGACTGGCGAGATCTAGAAACTTTCTGCAAGAACAAAGTTGGTGCTGGCACCAAGCCATGCATCCTCTTCCATGGCGTGGGCTTCACTCAGTCTCCTGAGTATGTGCGTCTCAAGTCCCTGCTGCTTGACTTCTTCAGAGGGCCTCAGGTCACTAATATCAGTCCAGCAGGTTTTGAGCTTGCAATCCAGTTTACAATGTTTGAAGGAAAGATCTTCATGCGCTGCTACAAGTGAGTACATTTTTGTATCTATGTTATTGCATGTCAAATTCTGGATGTGATGTGTACATTTGTGTATGAAACTAACTCAACCTTACCCAACTTTTTATGAGTGAACTTTTTGCTCTTAACTGTTATTTATTTTTGTGCTCATAGAATTATTGTACGAAATAAAGTTATTGCCAGCAAAGAACTTCCTCAGAGTTGTGGAACAATCCTCCAATGGATTTTCTGAATGCCTTAATATGGATCAAAAGAATACGACTTATTCTATATGGTACTGTAGTCAAATAATTGATGTTTAACTCTTCCGTGGATGATGCATTTTTGTATAGGTTTGTTATTATTTGTTGTTTTAAATTTTCAGCCCTAGAGAAATGTGTCTTACTGAACAAAAAATGTGCAGAATTCATATGTTACGGCTATCACGTTCTGTAAGTTATGAAAAGCATGCCCTGCAAGTTACAATTATCACGTATTTCCAGAATCCTACTGAAGAAGTCAGGTGTGGAAGTGCCCAGGGTGGAGCTGCAGGAGATCGGGCCGTCTCTGTCGTTCACGCTGCGCCGCTCCAAGCTCGCCTCCGACGACATGCTTAAGACGGCGTGCAGGAAACCCAAGGCTGTGCTGGTCAGTCTTTTACTCACGTTATTACTCCGCTCTCGAGCCTAGTGTGACGAATGCATGGTGTAGGCATCCATTAGAAAATATTACTGTTCTGCATGGAGTGGATTACATGGCCAAATAAATGATTTTAATATGATTTTGGCCAAATATGGCCAAATCAAATGACAAGTATTTTATAGATGATTAGTCACACTCATTTCCCTTCCGTCTATTTGGACTAATTTGTATAATCACTTTGAGTTCTACTCGAAGCCTGCAGCCTACCTTCATTATTATGGCGTTTGTGGAGTATTTTCCGCTGTTCTTGTTCTGTCTCATGAAGTTGACTGCGTCCTCGTATTGAGGAAGTTCCATTATGGCATTAAATTCTTGCCACTGGCTGCTGCTTACTGAAATTGGCCGCATCTTATGTATCCTTGTATGTACGAGTATTTGGGGAATAATTGTTGGATGGATGCTGGAAACTTGTGTTGCTGTTGCCACATTGTCTATAGTTTTGTAATGTAACACATGTTTGTTTGCAGCCCAAGCCTGTGAAGAACATCTCTAAGAACGCCCTGGGCACCAAGCTCGGCCGCATCCACATGACGAAGCAACACCTCAAGGATCTGCAGGTCAGGAAGACGCCGGCCATCAAGAAAGCAAAGAAGGACCAAATTCAAAAGAGGAAAATGGAGAAAAACCTTGCCAACGCTGCAAAGGCGGCTAATTTAGTGAAATAAATGTTCTATTTATCGGGTTATTTTTTGCCCATTGTTTTGCTCAGTTATATGTCGGAAAACTAGCACCTGCTTACATCGAGAATCCTTGCTTCATTTTTAAGTAGGAAAAACTAAGTTGTTGCATTCAATTTGGCGGGTAAATGCGAGATATTTTCAATAGCTGAGTTGGGTAAAATATGAAGTATATTTGAATCGTAGTTACACTTTGTTTAAAAAGTAATTTTTTTGAAGATCAGCTCATGCGGAGTAAGAGGAAGAAGAGGAAATAAAGAAAAATTTTTCCCTGGCTATGATTAAGTAGAGTTGCTCAGCTCTTAAGAGACTCCACCGCAAGGGGCAGGAGCCAAGCTCCTGCTGGAGATATCTGACGCTCTCCCGGTGCCTGAGTCAAGCCTTTCCTTGTGTTTTTTATTTATTTTCCATGGGTAACCTCAAGTCAAGACTAAATTTACAGGATACGTTAGTGAACTTCCTCTCCACTAAATATAAATTTACCGGAGAACTTTTGATGAACTTAAAGTTGAATGTACATGATATAAATTTTCATCTCGTGTTCTTGCAAAATATTTCTTAATGAAGAAAGCTGTTGATTTTCTGTTAGAAATCCTTTCTAGTTTACTACACGTTATACTTAGGCCAAATTGTTATTTGAAATTTGCGGAGAACAGGCATATTGGTTCTTAACATAAATAAACGAGCTAGTGCACTTAGGCGTGTGTGGTGCGTGTATGCATCGGCGCTTCTTGAGGTGTTGAGTTGCTGTTGACTGCAAAAATTAGCTCTCAATGAAACAGTTTGCATCTGGAAACTAAGTAAGGAGTGTTCTAGAATTTTTTTTGCCGCGCTATGGTTGGAGCCTGTGGCGAACCAATGATGGACGTGAAGTCCTCAATTTGATCAAATGCATGCAGTGATTGACTTGATTTGTGCCAAGAGTATTGGTTAAAGAGAATGTCTCTCGTACGGCGCTGAGCTGCATAAAATCACCTGGCAATTGTCCGTAAGGTAGGGAAATGGCTGTTAATTTTAGTTCATCTACGGCAACTGATTGCATTTCCTTTGTCCAGGTTATTAGTAGGGCTTATAATTTTTTTGGCAATGCGCGAATATCTGCGGAAAAGTTCCTATTACAAGTCACTGCTGAGAAATGCAACAGTGAACCATCTCTCTAGCAGAGCTTCGTCCGACACGTCTGGCAACGTCATCGCTCGCTTCAGCAATGGGTGAGAGTCTGTAGGAGTTCGTATGGCACAAATCGTGCCTTGAAATTTTATCCTGTATGCTTGGAAATTTGATGGAATAAACAATGGGCAATATAAAGTATCGGTATTTCGAGAGATAGAGTTCAGGCCTCACAATCTTCGCCTTCACGTGGAAACTTGTAAATTGCTACATTGTAGGGAATGCATGTTATTAATTGGAAATGTTTTTAAGGATGCGATTTGAAGGTGTTTATAAAAGATTTTCGAAATCATTCTTTCCCGTCTCCACATTCTAAGGTTTTATAATAAACTATTTTGTGAGTTATTGAGGTCAAAGCCTGATTGAAAGTTTTGCCTGAAAACCTCAAAAAATAGTCCTAATATAAGAACGCTTGCCCTGCAGCCGCAGCCTAACCCTGGAGACTGGGCGGCATGCGCGCATGGCGGACGGTTCGGTCGTGGCCACAATGGGCAACACGTCGGTGCTGGTGACGGCCACAAGCAAGCCTTCCTCGACCCCTCAATCCTTCCTGCCCCTGACGGTGGACTACAGGCAGAAGTACGCCGCCGCAGGCCGCATCCCCACCAACTACCTCAAGAGGGAACTCGCTCCCTCCGACCACGAGATTCTCACAAGCAGAGTTATCGGTGCGTCTCGTCGGAATGGTGCATTATTGTGCCCATCATCTAGCAATTGATTAAGCGTACGAACCTGTAGTGTGGATTGAAATAATCTAATTTATCTGACTAACTAAATCTAATCTAATTGTTCTTAGTTTGTTTTAGGTAGCCGACTATTTCGAGTAAAGGATGTTGTCTGTAAGCAGGTTTAGCTCAGGATGAAGCTGCGTGATAAAGAATTCAGTTAGATAACAAGTGATTGCATAACGGTATGTGTGCTGTGCTGGCCTGTAACTTTATTCGAAGTTGTGAGGGATTCCTGTAATATGAACCTTTGAAACACTCGAAATAAAACTTTCTTAATGCGCTATTGCTCTTCAGATGTATTCTGCTTAACTTTCATGGTGCTCCATGAATTCTAGTAATTCTAACAGCTTCTATTTGATTGTTGAAAGTGTGTTACTGTGGACTGGGTGGAATTATCCAGCAATTTTTTTCTATTCTTTTGATGGGTCTTTTAAATCATTGTAATCTTTTTTTTTTAGGTTGTACTCGATGAAAAATTTTACAGGAATATGGAAATGCCTCGAATATGGCTTGCGTATTATAAATACGCAAATAAACGTATTAAAAATACACAAATCAACGTACTATATTAATCAGAATAATTTTTATTTCCAGATCGATCTGTGCGGCCAATTTTCCCGGTTGGTTTCATGGACGAGACGCTGCTAACGTGCAGCCTGATGGCCGTGGACGGCTTCAACAGTCCCGACGTGATCAGCATCAACGCTGGTCGGCAACCTGTACCGTTAATTATCTTCTTGAATACCATGAAAATGACATTGTACTCCAAACCTGCAATTCATAAATTTTCAGAACTGTTTAAAAGCAGTAATATTTAGATAAATAATTTCTCTTGAAACTTGCAGCGTCTGCGGCGTTGGCTGTATCACCCATCCCTTGGGGCGGGCCGGTGGGAGCTGTAAGGATGGGCTACAGTGACGACGAGCTTCTGGTGAACCCTACGAGGAGGGAGCTGCAGCACAGCGAGCTGGACCTCGTCGTTACGGCGGGGCCCAAGAAAACTGTCGGTCAGAGGCTTTATGTGTAGTCGTTGCTCGTAGTCTCATAATTCTTGTTAACTAAATATGCATTTTATTGTTAAGTTCAGCCTGTTTATGTGGCCTAGTAAGCTGCGTGCTGTTGCGTGCAATTTTTCAGGCGTTCAATAGTGTTAAGTACACTCCTGTTTTAGATTCCATTGACTGGTTTTGGTTTTAGTAAGTTGAATTGACTGAAACTGAAGAATTTCAAAGCCTAAAAGCCACAATAAAAGCCAGAAAAGCCACAATATGTGTTTTGAAAGGCATTGTAAAAGACTAAAAATGCATGATAACCTTCATTTCAACTTCTCTTTAATTATTATACTAATCTTCCGACATTTATTTCGCCCACAGTTTCGCTTCATAAACTGACAAATTTACTCAAAAACATTAATATTCAAGATCTGTGTTGCAATATCATCATTGTGAGCCTCTGAGGGCATTTGTTAGAACCGCCATCTATTGGTCGGGGTGTTGCTACAGTGGCTTCCTACCCCTTGTGTCTACGTGAATTAATATGCGTACAAATATTGCCATGCGGCCTCCTACTTTTATTGTTTCTCAAATCAGGAACTGAGTAATAATGTGTTCTCAAGTTTTCATTCAACTCTTCAAATCGAGAGTTTTTTCTCTCTCAGAATTCAGGATGTCTTCATCTGTATAGTAGGCAGCAGCATAATACATTTTATGCTAGGCCGTCATGTTGACAAGAAGTCGTTATTGCTTCAACTTTTATGATCAAATTCGTCTATCTACTACTATTGTTAATTAATTTCATCGATTAATAGATTTACAAACGCTCAGTGCATCAAGCTTGCGACGCGGCCTAGAGGCTGACAAAAATCAGCTCTTCTACAGTCTTCTCTCTAATGAACATCTTTATCCCTTTCGCGGCTATTGACCATGTAATGATAGCATTTAATTAATTCTTTAAAGTTTGGAAGTAAATATTAGTAAACACTTACTCTAATTGTGCTTGCGTGCGGAAAGGTTGACAATGAAGCTATATGGCCATTGATGCTGCAGGCATGCTGCATACGCGCTGGCTGTTCCATTGTTCCATGTTGTTGGTATACGGTACGATTTGATGTATATTAATTATGCTTGTATGTCAGTAATGTTGGAGGGCGGATGCAACAACATCCTGCTACCCAAGCTGCAGAAGGCCATCAAGGCGGGCGTCAAGGAATGCCAGGTTGTGGTGCAGGCCATACAGAAGCTCGCTGAGCGCTACGGCAAACCCAAGAATTCTTTCCAGAAGCCACAACTTCCTCTTGAAATATTTGAGGCTGTCGAGTAAGTGCTAACATTCTGCTATTATTTAACGATTTTGTTACATATGTATTGAGAAATGAGCTACGCGTTACGAGAAGAGATTTGATCAAGTTACGCTGGTAATCACTGTACTTTGGGCTGATTGGGTTGGGTTATAACTGAACTGTGCGTTAAGTAATCACAATGTATAAAAGGTATGTTTTCACTTCTTATTTTTAAATGAATATTTTTCAATATTTTGTGTATCGTAGCTTCTAAAAGCTTCTAAAGAATTTTAACAAGCTTTGCAAAATTTGCGTAATAATTTTTCTGTTAAAGCCCCTGCATTACTCACGTCCCCTTTCTTGGTCCTCCATCGTACAAGGAATTCTATGATGGTTTAGGCACGTGAATACCTTGCATTGTATTCAGCCATACCTGCCGCCGTTCTCAGATCTCTGATCAGCGAGCGGATCACGGAAATATTCCAAGACTATTCCTACGACAAGCAGTCGCGTGACGCAGCCATCACCGCCGTGCGAAGAGACGCGAGCGCGACGCTGGCTCAGCAGTTCCCTGACCGCAGCGCCGAAGTCGAGAGCGCCTTTAATGAAATCACTAAGAAAATATTCCGGCAGCTGGTGCTGGAAACCGGTGTTAGGTGCGTAGTGTCTGCCTTGGGTTGCTTTTTAATCGTTTGAACCTCAGTGAGGGATTTCGCTCTGCATTTAAACTTGTGACATTATTTTTTCCTGCATGTGACTGTAAGATGAGTATATTTTCTGATGGTCTATTTGGCCTTAGAGAATTAAGACGCTGGCACTATCAGTAACTGAAAAAATTGTCGAGAGACACCACAAAAATTTCTAAAGACACCACATTCCGAGGATTATCAAATGAATTTTTGCACAAAGATTCAACTAATTTAATTTGGAAAACATGAAGATCTAAGATCTAACTACCTATAGCAAGCTGAAAAATTCAAAATATTGCTTATTTGTTAGATGCGACGGCCGCGGGTGCAGCGACCTTCGTGCGATGCAGTGCAGGAGTGACGTGTTCCCCGCACTGCACGGGTCGTCGGTGTTCCAGCGCGGCCAGACGCAGGTGCAGTGCACCGTAGCCTTCGACAGCCTGCACGCTGACAGTCCCCTCAACCCCCTGCTGCAGGCCACCGGGTCAGTCCACGCATTGCGTCTCTCACAAAATATCTTAGCAATGTTAGGCATCCGCAATGTTATTGTTTCTGGAATGCCTGAGATTTGAGATAATTATTTTTATCATTCATCTATCAGGGATGATCATTTGATTAGTTATTCGCAGGTTTCTGATCTATTTTGTTCACAGAGGAACCAAGGACAGAAATTTCCTGCTGCACTACTCGTTCCCTTCGTTTGCAACGAACGAGCTGGGGCGCGGCGGCGCTGTTACGAGGAGGGAGATCGGCCATGGAGCTCTAGCTGAGAAAGCTCTGCGCCCTCTCCTCCCCACCAATCATCCCATGACAATACTCCTCTCAGCGACTGTACTGGAAAGCAACGGTAACTATCCTGGCAGTTGCTTAAAAATTTTACCCTTTCTGGGGTTACTGTGCATCATCCAACACAATAAAAACAAGCCCAACAACGCGCACATACACGTCTGCCAACGCTACCAAGTCCCATAAGTCCATAATCAACTCTTAATCAATGTAATAGAATGCGTGGCCTGACAATCCACTTAATAGAACTTTCTGCCTTCCCGCGTGGATTGTCTGTCTGGCGTTTCTTCGCATAGAGCATTAGAACAACATTCATTACAGGCTACACAACAATCACATGGTTCTCTTCAATGGTCGTTGGTGTAAGAATGTAACCCGCCTACAAATTCGATTGAAAAAATTGCAACTTAAAATTATAGAAGTAAATGCAAATTTTTCTTGTATTGTATCTAGATTACTTTAAGAAGTTTTTAGTTAAGTCATTGGAAGTTCATTCTACCTCTACTTATGATCTTCAACTTCCCTGTGCATGCATTGTTCTCATCGTTATAATATTCCTTCTCACCCGAGTGTTATTTACTGTGACACAGGCTCGTCATCAATGGGTACGGTGTGCGGCGGCAGCATGGCTCTCTACGACGCTGGAGTGAAGCTCACCGCACCCGCCGCTGGTGTAGCGCTGGGTCTCATCTCCAGCAGCGACGACAGCGGCAACATCACCGACTACAAGATCCTCACTGATCTGCTGGTGCGGCATACAAGGGGACTGCCTGAGCTTTAATCTAGTCTGAATTTGTACGGAGACATCAGAGGTGCAGCATAAGTGGGAGGCTTAAGTGCCTGTCGGGTGGCATGTTGTTGTTGTTGTTGGTTGCGACCGTCACGCACGCCGGGGGGGAGGCTCTGGTGGCGGGCGGGGGGCCGGAACCGGAAGAGGTGGGAGGTGGGCGAAGGCAGGGAGGGTGGCTAGGAAAGCCGCTACCTCCACGGGGCTGTCCCACAGTGAGGAGACGCTGTCAACAATGTCTTCACAGAATTTATTTTAAACCTAGAAGTACAGAAACTGTAAAAACTGAGTCCTAAACCAGAAAATGAACTCTTTCTAAAAACAGAACATTTAAAACTATTGCCATCTCTATGAACCAAACAGTGTAAAAATGATAATTTGTTTTCTACTTCAGGTTCCATGGTAAACTTGATATTCGTATGTTTACTATTCAGATAATTTAGAAATAAAGTCATGTGAGATTGGCATCAAAAGAGTAAAAAAGTGTCATCTATATACCTTTTGTAAAAAACAGGTTTAAAGCTAATAGGGCAGTCATTTAACCATATTGTTTCGTGGAAGCACATAAAAATATTTGCAAAAGTTGGCCCTAATGGTAGACCCATGCCAAGACCCTCACACTGTTGATAAAATTTCCCATTGAACATGAAAAAAGAATTCAAAACCGACAGTTCAAGAAGGTTTTTAAAAAGTGTCTTTGGAAGTCCAATTATAGTAGCACCAGGATTAGTAAATAAAGAGTCCCAAACAGATGTCAATAGTTTCACGTACTGGAATATTTGTAAATAAATTTTTAACATCAAAAGAGGCCATGAATAATGTATTAGCATTTTTTATAGTCAAAATTTCATTGGAGAACATATGAGAATTTTCAGTTGTATATTGATTTTATATTGATTTTGCGTGTATAATACTCCTAGTTTCAATTTGGCTAAATTTCTCGTACCTATTTTGTCTCCATACACGCAAAATCAATATACAACTGAAAATTCTTATATGTTCTCCAATGAAATTTCAACTATAAAAAATGCTAATACATTATTCATGGCCTCTTTCGATGTTGAAAATTTATTTACAAATATTCCAGTACGTGAAACTATTGATATCTGTTTGGGACTCTTATTTACTAATCCTGGTGCTACTATAATTGGACTTTCAAAGACACTTTTTAAAAACCTTCTTGAACTGTCGGTTTTGAATTCTTTTTTCATGTTCAATGGGAAATTTTATCAACAGTGTGAGGGTCTTGGCATGGGTTTACCATTAGGGCCAACTTTTGCAAATATTTTTATGTGCTTCCACGAAACAATATGGTTAAATGACTGCCCTATTAGCTTTAAACCTGTTTTTTACAAAAGGTATATAGATGACACTTTTTTACTCTTTTGATGCCTATCTCACGTGTCTTTATTTCTAAATTATCTGAATAGTAAACATACGAATATCAAGTTTACCATGGAACCTGAAGTAGAAAACAAATTATCATTTTTTGTAAAGTCTTCCTTCTTCCGTTATTCTTGGCTATATGGAATAAATAACTAAAAAGTATCAATTCCAAATATCATAGCAAAGTGAATCTATTAAACATTTTTAGAATTATTTTCCTGTATCTTTCAATAAATAAAATTGGAATTCTTCCTAATTTAGTTCAGAGCTTAAACATATAAAAGATAGCAATAATTGGATGTGGCAGATAGAGCGACACCTAGACTGAAGTGATTAATAGTGTGATTACTGTGCCGAAACTATTTTAGAAGTTTTAGAAGCTTGCGACAAGATGTATTTTAGAAGTTTGCGACAAGTTTTCTAAATCATCTATAGAGAATATAGTTTTAGCATCACGAAAGATATTTTGGAAAAAATTTAACTAATAAAAGTGCCTCTATTTTCCCTGGAAATGTCGCCCACTTGAAAATAAAAACTATAGAATCCTCTTACATTATCTGCATGTACGTCCATTCTCTCCCAGCGCCCTTGCCCCTCACCAAACAGTAGCTAGGTACCTTTGCTGCCATCCTGCATGCATCCTCACTTTGACATCCCTTTCAGTGCCACGAGTAAATAGCACTGGCAGTGAGACTGATTGGTGTGGGTGGCCATGGAAGCCCGTATAATATTTATAAATGTACAACTAGCAGGGTAGCCCGGCGTTGCCCTGGATCAATAATACACGAAATTTAAGAATCTTTTTAATAATTATAAAGCTAATGTGTGTTAATAAGCGAAAGAACCATTCAGACCCACATTTTACATTAGAACATTAAACACGCATTTGACTCTCGTTCCGAAATTTCAGAAAAAATATGTGTCCCTTCAATTGAATTTCATGTATATACGAACTTTAAAAATAAATATTCAATTTATGAATCGAACATTCTCTCTAGTTTTGCAGCACCGGCTATTGTACAACTAAAAAGAATTTTCAAGTACAGGTAATATCCCGGTACGAAAAGTATGCGCAACAATTATAAGAAAGGCATATTTTAAAAAATACGTATAAAAAGCGTCATTGCATCACTAGTATGTTGGATGTGCTTAGTGATGGCACAGTGCAGAGTTTTTCTTTCACATGGGGTTCCTTTCTAAATTAATGTTACAATTTAGATTCCAAATTTTACGTAATCTGTTGTCTCACTTTTTTATATATACCTATTTTCCTTTGAGATTAATTCATCTTGATTTCCTACGGCGTAAATGTTTGTGGTTACAGCTTGCTGCGTTGGTGAAAACATGCTTGGGTATGCTTCCTGATCGACTACAAATGTGCTCATCATTAAATAATACTATGTTAACCTGAAAATACAGATGGCACATTCATCAAATTTATTGGTTATACTCGTAACGGAACGGTATCTTACACTGAATAAAGTAGCATAGGCGACTGATGAAACTTATTTTGAAATTTACGCCTTGAAATTTAACACAACCTGACGCAGGATAAAACGTGTTTATCTCAACGGCATAAACTCATCATGTTTATTATGAGTTCAAACTCCTTTGACGGCGTAAACTTCGATTTCGACGACTTTAATTTAATCTAAATTCCTTTAGATTTGGTGGGAGGATGCCAGCCACATCTGCGTGTTCGCGCCCAACCGCTTGGCGTTTGAAGAAGCCAAGGAGACGCTGGACGCGCTGCTGGAAGATNCAACATCACCGACTACAAGATCCTCACTGATCTGCTGGTGCGGCATACAAGGGGACTGCCTGAGCTTTAAGTCCTTGTCGGGTGGTATGACCGCATACGGCGCCTTGCTTCGATATTTGTCTCCATGCACTGTATTCATAGGACCCTTTAGATACCCTTCATTTCTAAAACAAAATAAATCTTCAATTTGGTTGGTTGAAGTTATTCACTTTTTGCTTAAAATTTGTTGTTGCGTTTTACTGTATTCTAATGTTTTGGGATGAATATTATAAAGTTATTGAAATATGTTGTGAATTCCTGATCAACTCTGTTTATAAAATAATATGCGTTTAAAAATTACTTTTTAAAGACAACACTTCCAAAGAATCCAGTGTCTCCAATCTTACAGATGTACAATGAATTTCTCATTTAGTTTTCGAATATTAAAAAAATTAATTTTTCAATTTTTTTAGATATAAATTTTTTTAATATATAACTTTTTTTCAAAATTATTTATTCTATTAATTGATTCATGCATTGCTTCTGACTTCACACAAGTGTGCAAAATTTCAGATCAATTAGACAGGTAAAAGTGTGTCAAATATCAGTTATAAGATTTGTAGCTGACAAAATTATTTTTTCAATTTTTTTAATATTGAAATTTTTTTTTAATTTTTAAAATCATTTATTTTGACATTTGATTCATGCATTGTCTCCAACTTTACACAAGTGTGCAAAATTTCAAATCGATAGGATAAGTAGAAGTGTGTTAAATTTCGATTACAAGATTTGTAGCAGACAGACAGACAAACAGACAGACAAACAAGAAGTGAAGTTAAAGAGAAGTGTTGTAATAATTAGTTGCGATTTTCTTGTGGTTTGAATATTCTTTCAGCTCAATGCAAAAATGTTTCAATTACAAATTTACAGATTAATATGGTATGCTTTTTTTGCAGGGAATTGAGGATTACTTGGGGGATATGGACTTTAAGATAGCCGGCACCCGGCAAGGGGTGACTGCCCTGCAGGCTGATATCAAGCTTCCAGGCGTGCCTCTTTCCATCATCATGGAGGCGTTACTGAATGCAACCCCCGCGCGGAATAAGGTATCTGATCTTTTCTTCTGTCGCAGTACTTATCTTTTCAGCATTAACTTATCTAAAAATATAAGTGACTGGCAATGCTTATGCATGAATTTATTATCTATTCATAAATACTGTAGCAGTAATGGTGCTGAAATCTTGAGGCCAACAAAATGATGGACTTTTCTCTTTTCCAAGATTCCATTGCATTGAGACCAAACGTTATCTGACTGGCCGCTGCTCACAGATCATACAGCTGATGAACGACGAGATAAAGCAGCCCCGGGAGAGCAAAGACACGTGGCCTGAGGTGATGACACTCGAAGTGCCGCCGTCCAGACGCGCCAGGCTCGTCGGTCCTGGAGGCACGACGCTGCGCAAGATCCAGGCACAGACTGGAGTCGAGGTTTGTATGTCGTGTGTCGTAATGTGGGTATTGGAAAGCTTGCGGTTTGTAATAATAACTGACCTTTCTTTAAAAATATGGAGGGATAAAATGCCAATGGTTATGGTTTTTCTAATCTCAAGACCCCAAAAAATCGATTATGAAAGAGTAAAGTCTTCCTTCTTCCGTTATTCTTGGCTATATGGAATAAATAACTAAAAAGTATCAATTCCAAATATCATAGCAAAGTGAATCTATTAAACATTTTTGGAATTATTTTCCTGTATCTTTCAATAAATAAAATTGGAATTCTTCCTAATTTGGTTCAGAGCTTAAACATATAAAAGATAGCAATAATTGGATGTGGCAGATAGAGCGACACCTAGACTGAATTGATTAATATGAGTTCAAACTCCTTTGACGGCGTAAACTTCGATTTCGACGACTTTATTTTAATCTAAATTCCTTTAGATATGGTGGGAGGATGCCAGCCACATCTGCGTGTTCGCGCCCAACCGCTTGGCGTTTGAAGAAGCCAAGGAGACGCTGGACGCGCTGCTGGAAGATAAAGAACCAACACTCGAGTTCGGCGCCATCTACACGGCCCGCATCTCGGAGCTCAGGCCCACGGGAGTCATGGTGCAGCTCTATGACGACATGACTCCTGTGCTGCTACACAACTCACAGCTCGACATGAAGAGGGTGCGATAATTTAATAATTTTTATATAATTGATATTTTTTCGATACGAACTTACTGGAATATTTCCCTTATTTCTCAAATCGATATTAACTTTGTAAATGCGCAAGTTCACTCGTGACCTGCGAAGATTATATCTGATGTACATTTATCAAACGTGATTTTTTCCTACATCTTGTCTGACGATGTATGATATGAATGTATTGAATTATTACTAAGCAGTTCGTCATTAATGGGACATGTACTGTAGTCATCTTGTAGCTGCTTCGAAAGGTCGCTAATGTTCAAAATACATTGTTTTTTTCCAACTGTGTTGCCAGGTTCAACACCCTAGCGCCCTAGGTTTAGAAGTGGGCCATAGCATCAAAGTGAAGTATTTTGGCCGTGACCCGAGCAGTGGTCAGATGAGGTTGTCACGACGAGCCATCCAAGCTGTGTCGGCTGTGACAAGAGACCTGCATAAAGCATCCAGCGAACCACCGTCTCCTGCAGTGGCCTCTCAGGCTACTGACGCCGCAGCAACTTCTGATGAAAACTTTGCTGCGTCAAAACAATCAGAAAGCTTGTGAAATTAGTATTATGAATTTTTAGTCTTGCATTGCGAGGATTTGTGGCACGGTCAGTAGGAGGGATTAATTTGAGGCAATTAAAACATTTAAAATGTTTTAAATTCGGCTGGCTTCTAGGAATATTGGTATCAGGCGATAGATTTTTTACTGCTCTTTGGGCGAATCTTAAAAATTGTTATCCAGTCCTACAATGATTGTTAATTATTACATAATTCTAGGGATGAGTGTTGCTCGTACCGACACATTGTAAAGCGAGATTCTTCTAGCTCTCCTTGCTTTTTTGATTCGCTGTTGATGTCCTGATAAGTTTTACCAACTTTTCATGCCCGTTTTGAACGATGTTTTACAAAGGAAAGCGTGTGCTTCCACCCAAGTTTGTTTATTGCTAGCCGTGCTCAGCTGTCTGTGATTTCCGTCTATTAGTCGCTATGTATTCTAGTCCATATGACCCGATGTTGCGCGGCGTCAACAAATCTGTGAACTCTAAAGAATAATTACAAAGCATTTGCAAATCCCCCTGACATGAATCGTTAAGCGTCCTGTTCTGATATGATCAATCTGAACAGAAAAGATTTGGCTTCTCGAACGTCGCAGCAGTTCATGTTTCACTTCAAAGTAATGTACATTGTTAACTTGTGCATATGTAAAGTACTGAAAGTGTACAGTTTTTTTTATAAGTCGTATATCTGCTTGTCAAAATAAGACATTCCCTAATTTGTATTTGTCTTCTATTTGCCTATTTCTCCCCGTATTTTTAGTACCGTATGCTAGATGCGTTTCTCTGAATAATCATATCCAATAGAATCCGGTTCAACTTTTTTTTTTAAATTAAACGGCCAAAGTTATCTCAAATTCGTTAAAATAATGGAATTGTCAGTTTTCCAAATAACTAAAATCTTTGATGCGAAGATTATGCGCTGTGTTTCGAAACTGTAATTATGTCCAATAAGGGCACTGGGCCAGAAGAGGCTTAGGGATGCAGCGCTCCCTCCCTTCCAGGAGCTGTGAATACTTGTCATTACGCTGGGTATCAAACGAGGCTCGTCGCCCTAGAAGTTAATCTCGTAGTTAACAGCCGCTGATTGTATTTCGTTATTAGGAAGATCATTCAGGGGAGCAATTTTTAGCAATGGGTGCTTATCGGAGCCAAAAATTGGAATGTACTTACTTGCATAAAACAATATTCCAGGTCTCTTGTCTGATTTCAGTTCCACAAAGTACGAATTCATCACAAGTGTCGTGTCTAGTTTGGCAACAGAAAAGAAGTGACATTTTCCTCATTGGCTCTTGGTGGGTTGCGAAAATAGTGAAAGTTTAGTTTTAAATAGCGTTCTTTCGCAATGTCTCGCCATGGTTATGGAAGAAATTATTGAGAGTAAGTTTGGTATAAAGTTTAACCGATAGAAACTTGACAGTCTTGCCCAAATAATAGAACCTAAGTTATATCCTCGTCAAAGCCAGGCGACTTTTGTGTTGAAATTATAAATTTTCGGCGTACTTGTTCGTTACGAATTGCTTGAAAATGATTTGAAAATTGGCCACATAACTGGTTTTTTTTTTGTACAGGATTCATCATCAATTACTGTCTAGACCAGAATGCCAAGTTTTATGTAAGGAAGATTCGGGGGAAATTCTCCTGCTGATGCCAATCACGGCAATATTAAAGAATCGCTCCGCTAACTCTGACGACTTGGTTGTGCAGGTCTTGGAGGTTGGTATTACGTGTTGGTACTGCCCTTCAGTGTACCTGTGGTGCTGTTGCTGCTCTACGTGCGTTGGCTTGGCTGGCAGCTTTTTGTTAACAATTGAAGTGGTCGGCAGCTGCTCCGGAGGTCAGTTGTAGACGGTTTGCTATAGAATAATAATTCATAATAGTTAATTTTGCTCTTGCGATGCGTTTGTTAGAAGTATGTACTGCCGAAAGGTTAGAGAAACACTAGCTGAAAGATAAGTTTATTATCACTCTACTTGACTATTCGGTAATCGAGTTGATTTTTCTTACTTGAATGTACTGCAATATCCTTGAACTGTCTACGTAAACGGATTAATATTAATTGTATTTAAGAAACGACTACACCTATGACTACTATAGAAGTTTCAGGCTGAGTAATTGAAGCAACTTGACTAACTTCGATTATGAATCTCTTCGAGTATTCTGCTTCCTGCCGCATTTTTCTCAACAAGTAAGAGAACAATTGCAAGTGTTGCGTACGTAGTTCATGTGCTGTATCGCTAAGGAGTTTCGCTCGAGCTCCATCATCTTGAAGGCACGCTTTTGTATTCCAAGTTAAAAATAGCAAAAAAAAAAAATCCATGAAAGCCACGTGATATAAATCAACAAGATGAGACACAATTTATTATTTTCTACGAGATGTATGATCGGAGTATGATGAACTAGAACAATGGATTAGGATAAAATTGTGCTGCTAAGCGCTGATAAATTTACCGGCTGGTAGAATTAAAATCAGCACTTTCCTGCCTCCGTATTCACAAGCGTCTAATATAACTTGACGCATGAAAATAAGCAACTATTTTGAGACTTCATTTACACACGGAAAATTGATAAATTAATTTCAGTTGGCGTAAATGGTTTTTGCAAAGCCATTTTCATTTCACATTCAGTGAAGCAAATATCGAGCTAAAAGGATTGCATTTGACTTAAAAGCCTGGCATGGGCATGTTGAAGGAAGATGGATATGGCAGCGCCGGACCTGTGCTGCTGCCAGTGGGGTACGGTAGTGGAGGGTATGGTGTCGGCGCCGCCGGACCTGTAAATATTCCGTAAACGTTTTTCAAAAATTATAATGCTTCATTAAAATTTGTACAGATACGATGTTTGGCAGAAAGCAATTTCAATATAACTCGTGCCGACGATGTTACAAACAAAATGCGAATCAATATTCTGGCTTCACGTTGTGAAAATGAATAAATACAGAGGCAGGGATTCCCCTAATATAATTCACGACACATACCTGGTGCAGCTGATGCAGCACCGTTGCTAAAGCTGCCGCAACGGATAAGTTCCGCTACTTTTTCAGCTTTTATTCTTCTCACGTGCGCCATTGCGCGTTTCTCGATGAATTCCGATAAAAAGTCTTCTACGCTTAGCTCTTTATCCAGGAATCCCTGAATCACTTTCTGGAGAGAAATGAATAGATGAATGCATATGATTAGAACAATAATTGCTCCAAAATAATAGAGAAATCCTAATGTAGACAGTAGAAGATAGTAACGATTAAGTGCATGGTCAAGAGCTGTTCACATATGATAATGTATAGAAGTGAAAGTTATTCGATGCTAGTTATTACATCTTTTATTACCAGTTTGTATGCACTTTCATGGCCACGCAATTCACCTCGCTTTCCTCTTCCTTCTCATGCGCTGCCGTCTGCAGCAGCGCTTGGATCGTGTCAGGCTTGTACTGCCCGCTTGAGCTGTCTGTCGGCAGGAAACGTGCATTATTAAACCAGTAGTATTATAACTTGCATTATGTTTTGAATAAAAGTGCGAATGACGACACAAAAGCAGTGAAGGATCAATCTGTTTACAGGAAAGATGTTACCCCTGAACTTGGCAAATAGCACGAGATTCGTGACCGAATTTCAACTATTTCGCAGATCTGTCGTTAGAAGTCTACAGCTAGAATTACTTCATAGCTTTTTAATCCAGACAGACATGATTAGTGCTACTCTGACACCCACGCTTCATACACACTTGTTAGTGTTTAAAACCAAAATTTTCTCTTGCAGATATCTTGAAATACCGAACCAAACAAGATGGCTGACGAAAACGTCATAAATGAGGATCTCGACAGCCGCAACAAGGAGAAAAAGGAGAAGAAGCACGACAGTGGGGCAGCAGATCTCGAGCGCGTCACTAACTACGCCGAAGAGAAGGAAATAAAATCTGATGCAGATATCTTATCTGTGATCAACAACGTAAAGCGACAAGAATATGCGGACAAGGTGAGTGATCTCTAAGAAACAGCAGCCTTAATCTGAAAACCTTGTTAAATAGTTTTCATTCAGCAAGCAACAAAACCATGATTTAATTAATTTTGTTGTCGGCCCTCTAGCTGCAGCGAGACCAGGAGCTCTCTAAGGTGGCCATCAAGAAGCAGGACGTGGAGCTCATCATGCGCGAGTTGGAGGTGACGAAGCAGGTCGCCGAGCGCTCTTTGAGGGAGCACAAGGGCAACCTCAGTGCCACTCTCGTCATGCTCACCGACTAATTATTACTCTAGTGATCCTTATTAAATGATAATAAATTCAAGCGTTTCCCTCCGTCATTCTTGGAAGAGATTATACGAGAGAGCCTTCTTTTGAAGCGAAATCATCATCCCGAATAGAACATGAGACTTTTTAACCTTTTGTCTATTGACGGTTACTTTATTTATCAAGCTTCAGTTTCGAAACGCATTCACGAAGGTCAACCTAACCGCAGACAAACAGCAAAAGCTGGCCAATATGAAACGGCAGAAGTGGCTGAATCCGAGGTAGATGCAGGTGATTTGTTGCAGATGATATAGATATATAACTTATAATTTAACTAATTGAAGCAAATTCAGTATATATTACATTACAAATATATTCTTACCTGCTGCTGCCTTCAAGCTGGTAATTGAGTTCGCCAACTTGGACGCTTCTTCATACTCTGCTATCAGTGCCCGCTTGCCCTGAGACGCACAGAAAAAAAAATTTTTGGCGTATGGAGTAGGGCATTTTAATGTAAAGAAGGAACAATAAGTTAATATAAGTTAGCGAGTTAAGCTTATGAAAGGATCTCTAAAGAACCGTAATAGAATTAGAAATGAGCTGAATGAATGTAACAAAGTGTAAATTTGAACAAATATTGGAGGACAGCCAAAAATTCAGTGAAACGTAGCTAGGGAAGAGCGGCAGTCATCCTAAATGATCGTCTACAGACTCGCCGTCAACATTAGTACAAAGCGAAACTTGAGGTTTATTACGTCAGTAACAACGTCCTATAAGTGTCTTAGGCTGAAAAAATCTTAAATTTCCTGTTTTAATAATTTGACTAGCAATGAGAACACAAATAAATAAAAGCTCGCAAAGTTGTATAAATGTGACCGAAAAACGACTGAAAGCATCCAGTTTGGATGGCATATAACAGGTGCAAAACAATCCGGATGCAGAGTTTTCAACAAATATTAATTCAATATCAGACTTACACACCTCGGTGAGCTTGGGTTCCAATGAGATGTTGTGTTCAGCTAAACTTTTGTTGGCCACTAAAAGCATTTCCTGTTCTTGACTCAGCACTCGCATCTGTAGCAGACACAGAATATAAATGAAAAACACGTTAGACATACAGCACACAGGCTTTAATAATTGAAAAATAAATGTTAATACGGCAATTTTTGGATTGAATAGCAGGAACTGACTCCAATGTCCATCCTTTATTTGAGGCAACAAAATTACAAACAACAGATTACTTTCAGGATCACAAAATCATGACCCCATCCAACTGCAAATATTATTTAAGAAGATGCTTTTACGGAAATGAGAAGAGTTCTGTGTCAAGGTTGAGAGCAACCAGCACGAAGTAGGACTCTTGTAGGTATCAGGGTTGCGAGCAACCAGCACAAAGTAGGACTCTAGGAAAAGTAGGAAATAAGACTTGATTATCAAGCATTGTTGCCATTAAATTGCACTTTTGCTATACCTAACGTGACTTTTTTTATCTTAGAATCTTTACAACAGCTGGTTTCACACTTTTTTGTAACCAGACCAGTCATTGATGATTGAATCTTGCTCAAAAGTACATTTTTTTATGTAAAAATTATGCAGACACATTTTGTGCTTGTCATTGATCACTTTTTTTGCTTCACTTTTTAAGCTCTTTTCTTCACTTTAGATGCATTTTTTTATGTTTTTGTCAAAGAAACAATGCAATTTTAATGCAGTACTGGCATGACCACAATTAAAAGTGTCAACATAACATTTTGAGTGTACTAGTCACTGTGCAGGATTTTTCGTGAAAGCATGGAACTGCAGAACATCACAGTGCAGACTGCAGAGAGTAAATAAATATTAAAAGATCTATAGCAACATATAAGCATAAAAATCTACATCTTCTGAAGGTATTGCCAACACATACCATATCTCTTAAAATATCTCATAGTAGGTATATTTTTTTTGGCACAAAATCTTGAAGGTTTGAGTCGTACTGGCAACAAATCCTCAATGACACTGACAAAACTTTCTGCCTAAAATCTTGATCTTGGCAACACAATTGCCAAGTTATACTTAGTGAGAAATGCAGATGCTCTAGTTTTCACAGAGTGATGAAATTGTAAGGAATTCCAAAATCCTATTCCTAATCAAACAAAAATAAACAACTTTGAAGCTACACAAAATCATATACACCAAAATTATGGGATTTTGGAGCCATGTTGTATGTACCTACTATTAGTAAAATGTAGAATTATTGACCTCCATTGAAATATATATTTGTTCAATTGAAAATTACATGATATTCATGCAATTTCATGCCAAGACTTGAATCAAAGTAGGAAATTTGAAAGACAACAAAAATGTTAGTCCAGATAGTCAATTTCACCTGTTCCCCAAATTAAAAAAAAAAGGCAGAACAACTTGTGAATGAGACAATACATATAGACAATTTTATCTGTTCTATTGGTCCTTGCCTAATTTCTGTAATAAAAATTTATAATATAAGAAATTTTTTACAATGCCTGCAATTTCTGAAAAATCACCTGATACAGGATAATTTTTACCTGCAAGTTTTGTAAAATTTTGCCCAATATTCAAGATTGACCCTTTCCTATGGGCCTAAACTGATTTTAGCAGTAAATATTTAAAAAAATAATACATTTTCTGAAAATTTTTGAAAATTATCTTTGAAATGATTTTTGTTTTTATTTTAGAAAAATTTTTGTCAATTATTCCAGATTAAAGTTCATGATATGAGCCATGGGCAGAATGATGTGTAAGGTGCACAGGAATTTACACTGCCATTTTATTAATCTGCATGATGTGCCATAATATGTTAAGCTGAAATGTGCCATGCACCATAAATATTTTAAAAATGAATGCAAAATTGCATAGGAACATCTATATACCTGTGTGGCACAACTATGCACTTGTTGTGCACAACTATGCACAACCATGTGCCAGTGCAATATGGCCCCATGCATTGATACAAACATGTTCTAAGTCCAAAGTCAAGTTTAAAATGCTTTAAATTATACTTAAAGCTGCACATCTATTCACTTAATAAAAAAAACAGTATCAAGTTGAGTCATGCAGCCATGTTGCTATCTGTCATCAGTAAAATTTTCTCCAATGAATGAAATTACTGTCAAGAGATTGGTGAAAATTCCTCCTTATATTTGTTACCTCAAACATTAGTCATGTTGCATAACATAAAATCCTGAATATATTTCAAGAACTTTGCTTCAGTATTTTTACCTTTAATTTATGGAAGTATACCGTATTCTACACAAAATATATTAAAAATGCAAGTTGATATGTAGGATACCATAGCATGAAACACAATAGAGCACTGAATACTAGAGTAGAATAGAAAGCATAAAATACCACCTACATGACAAGGCTTCATCATATATTGCAGTTCTGTAAATACTTTTCAGAGATTTTTTTCTTACTACCTACTACCTAGTGGATATATTTAAAAAATTTTAATGAAAGCAAAGATTGAAAACTTGATGTTCAATAAAACTTCTGTTGTGATGGTTAAGCTTTGATTAGGTTCAAAATAAATGACAACTGTTTGATAGTGCAATGCATGATTATGTAGGTGTTTAGTGTTACCTGAAAATCTGTAATCAATGAAACTTTTATCCAACTCATGGTTCATTCTATAATTGTTGTATTTTAAAAATGGCAAATGTCATTATTAAAACCATTTTCTTATAAACTTTTGTGCTTGCAGATCTGCTACTACACAAGAGCAGCATGCATCTTGAACATTGATGTGAGGAAAAAATTTCATCTTTGACCAAATTTATGGCCAAATATTACTAACGGGCAAATAATCAAGTTTCAAATATCATTTCTTCCTATATAATTGGCATAAAATATTCTTATTATCAAATTTCATATTGTTATTATCAAATCAAATACCATATGCAAGTTAATGCTACAAAATTAAGAGAGAAAGATATTGCGGGAAGAAAAAAAACTTGAGCTATAGTTAGTATAGTATGCATACGCATGTTTAGTCATGACAATTTATAATNATGTTGATTATTTGACACAAGAAATTTTATTTCAATTCATTGGTTAAATTTTTTGGGTCATAATAAATTTTTTTTTAATTTGTGATTTGACACTATGCAGACTGGTGTGCAGCTTGCAAGTTGCAATTAATAGCTTGGACACTGCCTGGATCTGTACAAAAGTCTATGCAAAGTAAACAAATTTAGCTTGTTTTGCACAAACTGCATGGACCCTTGGCTTCAAAAATCTCATTTTGAACAGGATAGTAATTCTGTGAAAAATCTACATCTTCCTGACCTGAGTGTGGAATTACTGGAATATGAGGCCATTTTGGAAAAATATGCAAAAGCCACTAGTGAATGAGTCAACAAAACAATATTGTTCATGCTTGAGGTAAATTTCACTTATTTTTATAACTTTTACCAAATTTCTTGCATTCAAAATTTTAATAACAGCACATTCTTACCTGCAATTTTTGAAAATTTCCTGGCTGCAACTTTCAGAAATTCTGCCTGTATGTAATAAATTGTACTCAGATTGAATAAAATGGACAGAACAAGCAAACAACATGCTCAATATTATGACAAGAACTTTTTAATATACGTATTCAATAATTCAATTATTACCTGAGGCAGGTCAGCTATCATTTCCGATAGCCTGGTGTCATCATTCATTAACGATCGAAGTTCATCCACAGTAAGATGTCTTATCAATCCCGTAACAGCTTCACTTTGAAGGTCCATTATGACTTTATGAGTTACGTATATTTTGCTGACGAGTGGCGATGCCTATTTACCCGGATTTAAAACGTACACGTCGCCTTCTTATTTGCACTGTATCTACACTGACTGTAAGTATACGACTATACGTCTAAAATCTAAATCTTTGTTTATAAAATTGATAAGTGAAACTAAATCGCGGAAAACGAGTATCAGCGAACTCAAGTTTAACATGACGCAATAGCATCCTACACGAGAGAGGCTAAAGAATAAACAAATTTTACTTAGGCTGCTCACCACTGCATCTTTTTACTCATTTCTGATATCCTAGTTAAATAATTTAGAAAATAAAAAGGGCTGAGAAGTTTAGAGTAATAACTTTTAATAATATTTTAATCAAATGTTCTCTCCTACCAACATTAAATATGGATGCATATCCTCTGTTTGAAGAATTGTATTATTTACGTGTCGTCATATATTTTTTCAAAACTTTTTAGAAATGTGATGCTTGCTTGCGAAGAAGTTTAATTTTTGGTTCCGCACATGACCCATTCCGAAATTCAATTAGCAAACACAAACTGCTGATTGAATTCAATCAGACGAGAAAATGCTGTAATGCTGTAATGGATTTTCAGGCCGAACGGATAACTAACAGAGTCGTGTAAAAATGGCGACCGTTAGCTTATCAAGCGCCACGGCACATTATAAGTCCGCTGTAATATTCCGCCACGACGAGCAGTCAGGACACAGCCGGCTGTTGTCGAGCAAGAGCTTTGCACGTGGCATCCATCTCTCACGTCGGACGCTAACAGCAGAAGGCAAAGAAGTGGTAGACTTCCCGCGGGACGCTCTCACTTCTGGGTACAGATTAAAAACAAACAGATGTCTTCGAGACGTAAAACTCAGCGTTCTGTTAACTTTACCAACATGGGGCAGCTTAACAATGTGCCCAGTTGTTGCGATGCAGTCGCTGTACCACTTTTATTAAAAAACATTTTGGAATAAAAATTGGGTCATCAAAATTAAAGGTAGAATGTGAGCAAAATCGTGCTTAGTAATAAGACTGTTCGGTTCAAATTTGCAAGGGTATGCCAGGATGACGCTTTGTTTTGCTGAATAAAACAAAACAACGTGTGCTGTTAATGATCGATATGGAGGTCGGTTTCAAACATCTTAGATTGATAAGCGGTCAGCTACAGTAGGCTGAGAGCCTTTTTGTTTGGCTAAAAAATTGTCCCCAGAAATAGTCCCAGAAGCATCGACCAAGTTATCGCAATGTAGAGAACACGATTTTTTAATGTAGTTTTGAATATCAGATGGCAGGCGGTTTGCTTCTTCACTGAGAACAATCCCTTGGGTAACATATATCATATCATTCATATGTTTAAATGGGCAGTAATCACATATTCTATTCTAAGCAGCATGATAAGATTGAAACGAAGTTTATTACGATTTGATATCAGACTGCAATTTCGATCAACCAGAATTTAACATCAAATCTACATCGAAAGTGACCTACTTTAGGTGAGACGTGAGGCAATCGTAATTCCACATTGAAACAATGTCGATTTACGATTATTCATTTTTGGATACGGTTCGAATCAGTTCAACATTAAAAATGCGACAAAATTGATGTGGTTGTGATATAACTAATTATTTTAAAGTGGAACTAACGTCATCGTACAATAATTAGATTCGGCTATGAAATCATCACATAATACAACGTCAGTCCTTCAACCAGCTTCCTGAGAGTTGTATTTCAGCTCCATTTCGACGCTGCATCAACGTAGAATTTGGATCGTAATGGGGAACGTTTTGGAAGCTGTTAGGCCTACGTTCCTCGTAATGGCATGGCCTAAACACTAAATTAATGACAATTAAATATTTGTCGAAAGGATTAGTTAGTCACTGTATAGTAGGCATGGTTTATAATAAATATAGTAGTTGACCAAGATAGGGCAGGTATACACCCTTTCACGGGCAAGTTACTGTACAAGTATATGATCTATTGAAATCGCCTCACAAAAAGCCCCACCACAGCTTCCTGTTTGTTTTTGAGGCGCCCTGATAATGTCTATTCTATTCTATTCTATTCTATTCTATTCTATTCTATTCTATTCTATTCTATTCTATTCTATTCTATTCTATTCTATTCTATTCTATTCTCTTATTATCAAGGGCAGGGAGTCCCACCCAGGCCTAGTGGTTAAAATTCAGAGTATCAGGAGTGGAGCAGAGAGGCGCGGGTTCGATCCCAGCTCCGTGCGCGTTTCTGGTCAGAATTGTAGCAGCGAGTTGCGAGTTCGAGTTCGAGACCGCAACAAGCTGTGAATGTTCTGCGATGTTAAGAATCGGCGACAGGCCTACGGCCTAATAAACGCTGAATCCGTTATTATTATTATTATTATTATTATTATTATTATTATTATTATTATTATTATTATTATTATTATTATCATTATTACTATTATTATTATTATTATTATTATTATTCTATAAACTACTTGGCGGTGGGGCGTGCCAGACACCAGGTCGTACCCCGATACTGCACAGGACTGCCTTTTAAGTGGCAAAAGGAATGCATGCTGGGTTATTAACATACGTGAACTTCGTTGTGAGTGATAAGATTTATAAAACATTAAGATAATTTCTAATTAATTTTAAATTCTAGACCATAAATGGTTCATTGATTTGAATAGCATTGATATTTAACCAATTTAAATAACAATAACAGGATATTATCTCGAATACCCATCACCGTTCAAATCATGTATTCGAATGCACGACGCCGAAGTGAAATTAATGTTTACTTTGATAAAAGCACGAAGTTTGCAGAGTGAGTTTTCTCATGCTGATCTTACAAGCCAAAGAACATCGACAATATAAAATTAGTACCTATGTAATGTGATAATAAATGTTCAATTAAATTTCTTATACCTGTAGAAGAGGTATCAGGCAAAGGACGTACGGGTGTTCAGTTGATTGCTTCTTTAACCCTTTACCGCCAATTCGGACTTCCAAGTCGCCTTTAAAAAAAACACCGGTTTTCTAATAATTTCACGTTTTCTTTATTTGTTCGAAAAATTCACACGAACAAAAAAGTCTCAGATTTAATTTTTACATATGTATACCAAGTTTCAAAGTTATCTGTCTGTAAATAACCGAAATATAATTTCCGATTTCCACTGGCAATTACCAATTTATTGTGGAAATTTTATTTCGGTTATTTACAGACGGATCTCTTTGAAACTTGGTAAACATATGTAAAAGATAAATCTAAGACTTTTTTTTGTTCGTGTGAATTTTTCGAAAAATGAAAGAAAACGTGAAATTCTTAGAAAACAGCTAAAAAGGGGGTACTGTAGAAATCTATCTCCTCCTAGGATTCTCAAGCTACAACATCGTGTTCAGTAGAGCGCGGCAAAGTCCCGAGCGCCTCGAAATAGGCATTCAAGGTGGCATGGATACAAGACTAGACGTTACTGGAGCTGAAATTCAGTCAAGGATGGTGGGAACGACTGCATGAGCACCATCCAACACGACAGCAGCCGGGTAACTAAAGATCAACGTCTTCAGGTCGTCTATTTATGTGCCCGGCCGGTAATTTTCGCCTATCTTAAATGTGGAAGAACTCCCCCACCATCCCTTTCGCGAACTGTCGTCAAGGCATAAATCAACGTACAGAGATGATTTTGGTACCGTTGGATAGGTCAGAATGTCAGCTTTAAGGTGAGAATAAAAACCGGTAAAGTGAAATTTGCGATTTTGATTCGGGCGGTAAAGGGTAATTAACCTTCGGTTTCACAAAAAGATTTCCTCAAAGTTTTTAGAATTATTTGATGAATTTACTTACTCATCAAAAATGTCAGCCATTTCATGTGCAGCAGCTGATGCATTTTAATAAAGAAACATCGCAATTTTCAGGTGTACTAAAAGTCTAAAGCTATATATGGACCTAATGTGGAGTATACATAGTTTAGTTATCTATAGTATACTTGGGTTCTAGGATTAATTAGTCATTAAAACTACATTAAACTATGTAGTAATAAAACCAAATCGGTAAAGTAAACGCAAGGTTGCACATATTGCACATGTTTTATTTGCTGTCATTTATGTTCGCTTCAATACAAATTAACACATAAATTCCAGGTAATCACAAAAATCTGCTTGTCTAAGAAACGTTATATTCAAATATTTGATCGAGCTCAAATCATGAATTTTATTGAAAAAAATTATCATTCGTTATGGCGAGTTTAAATACTTTATCGAAACTTAGACAAAGATTCTCCGCGCTTGAAAGGATGAAATGAGTAATCGTTCATCAATTAAAATGGCAGCCAACGTTCGAAGCAATGATAAGTACATGACTATGGCTTACTTCTTAAATTAACGGATTTGAGATCTGGTCCGAGAATATTTGGGACATTTGTTACAGACTTACAGTCATTAATTCTTGGTTGTTGATCAATAATGTTTTAAATATATACGAGCTTTACGACCGGAAAACTCCTCAAACGTACAATGAAATAGCCTTAAGAACGGAACACTTTCATTTCTCTTAGATTTCTTCGTGTACCATTCAAATTTTTCAGAAAACTCGCTTGGAAAAAATTGCTCTGACAAAACAATTGGATTTAATGAATATCAGCGAAATAAATAGAAGATATCATTAATTCTTTTTACGGAGACTCGACAAATGAGGTAAAGCGCACTTCTGTTGCCTAAGAGCGCCAGTCATCTTATTGACGATATATCACACAATACACGTAATAAATATGTTAAATAGCTTAAGAGGTAAAGTTGAGATTGTCTCTCGCAGAGTAGAGTTGGAATTGACACCAGCAAAACCGCAGTGTAGTTTTGGTGTAGCTCCCCTGAGAAAAATGGTTTGAATTGCGGTCTCTAATATGGCCGAAGAATTTCTTGTACCATGTTCATGAAGAAACTGGAAAACCAATGCACTAAGGAATGCAGAACGATGTCGTCGCGTCCAGCGAACCAAGTAACTCTATTATATTACAGTTGTGGTAGCGGAATGGTCTTCTGATGACGTGATTTCGGCCGATGAATCGCGTTCTTGTCATTACGAAGCTTCCGTTTTGATGGGAGATGGGGTGATGATCCCATTCCAAGATATTTTGTATTGAATTAATAACCATACTGTGTAAATAAAATTCGCTTTGCACTTTTGTTGTCATTCATTTGCATGAAATTGAACAAATTGAGATAATCTCACGTTATGAAACATTTCGAGAGCTTACAATTACACATCAAGTAAACAACTCTTATAAATGTTCGAGGAACACAATAAACTATAAATAAAATAACAATAAACTTAAGAATCCTTGGACTTTGACATGTTATGGATCCTTTTCAGGTCAGACTAACATTTTCAGGACATCTCCGGCAAAGATCACGAAAGAAATCTGAAAAGAATATTGATTCTATTCCAATTTCTTATGAGAAATTCCAATAAGCAAATAATATTTCAACCTCGCATCGTTTGGGATGAATAGCGAACTTCTTCACCCCAATGCCTGGTGACGATCCTCGTACCCGGTCATATGCTATCCTCTTCACCTCAACGATGGTGGACAATCCTCGTACCCGATCAGATGTTATCCTCCTCACACCAATGACTGGTGATAATCCTCGTACTAAGTCAGGTAGTATCCTCTTCACTCCAGTGACTGGTGACAATCCTCGTACTCGGTCAGGTAGTATCCTCTTCACCCCAATGACTGGTGACAATCTTCGCATTCGGTCAGGTAGTATCCTCTTCACTCCAGTGACTGGTGACAATCCTCGTACTCGGTCAGGTAGTATCCTCTTCACCCCAAGGACTGGTGACAATCCTCGTACCGTCAAATGCTTTAAGTCGTATCCAGAATTGCTAGTTCTTGCTTTCCAACCTTCACTTGGCAATAGCTTGCCTGCTCTAAAAAATTAAAAAATAATTAATGTTCGTGGAGACTCATGGCTCTTGTCGTACTTGATTTTTCGACAATGAAATTTGATGGCGTTTTTCGTAGCAGTTCGATATGAGGATTGCCAGCGGACTGCTGATTCATTTCATTGTAGCACACTTCAATTTAAATTTCAATTTGAGTTTTGTAGACAGTTCAGTTTGTATTTCACGCTCATTTTCATGTTCGCTGTCGGTGCGTCGTTTCCGGCTCTGAATTTAGCTTCGGTTCTGAATTTTCTGTCTTCTGGACAATTCCAGCGTCTTCATGTGTTTCAATCCCGAGGTCATTTCGTTTTAGCATTTAATCATTCACTCTGGTTCAGTTCCATCGTCATTTCAGGATTCATGTCCAACGTTTTGACTGGTTTTCAGCTTCAATTCCACTATTTTTTTCGGTTTTGGTTCCAGTTACAATTCTAGTTTCAATTCCAGATTCCGTTCGTCTCTAAATTCCAGTGTCGTTCACGGCTCCAAGTCTAGCTTTGTTTCTGGTTGATTCTAGCTTCTTTGGGCTCTAATGCCAGCGCCTACCCACAGAATCTGGGTTTTAATAAGTATGCAGTATTAATATGTCATTTGCTGTGATTGGTTTTAATTGGGATAGAGCATACAGGAACAATACGATGGAACTTTCACTTCACCGAAAATAACGTCTTGTGACCACGAGTTTACACCAGTTTTCTCGCGATAGTAGAGGAAATAATTCATGGTCAACGTCTCGCACTTGGAGTTGCCCATCACTCCTGCGAGAGGATAAGATGGATTATGTTTACGTGGGATTTATAATATTCAAATAAACATTATTAAGCTACATATACATTAATAAGCTATATAAACATTATTAAGCTACATATACATTATTAAGCTACATAAACATTCTAAGCTACACGTTGAGGTTTCATAGTTCAGTTTGTGACATCTGCGGAACTGACCTCTACATCTGGTGCAGGTTCCAGTGCACCAGCGTACCCAAATCTTCTGCGTGTGAAGCTCCTGTTCAACCTTCACCGGAGTTCCTAACTGGTTCACTAGGGTTATTGTCTGGCTCCCGACCGTCACAGTCTCGTCTGGTGTCAACTCAAACCTGACAATGATGTAAGCTTTATTGTAAAGACTGCGGAACACTTCTCGTTGGTCGCAGGTGGTGATATTACAATATGCATTCTATTCATAAAAATATCATTGGCATCATTCAATCTAAACTGATTTCAGCTGGTTTTGAAAAAAAAATAAAACAATTCTTTTACAGGTTTTGATAGGCGAATTAGTCAACGTTTACTCACTCTTCGTATGGGCAAACGTGCTCGTGTTGGTAGACGCCTGGGCCCCACATCTGTAGAGAAATGCTGGTGTTCAGTGGCTGGTTATCGCACGTTATTTCAATTCAATATAATTTATTTGGTCAGACAGTGTGATTCTCAGTTATGAAGTCACGAAATAATTACAGAATGATAAATTTAAGAACTAACTTGACTGAAGTGGTTATTTTTTTAAACTGATTTGATGATCGCCATTAAATTGTTAAATTACGAAATCATTTAATTATAATCGGAGAAGTACGCTTTTGTTTTAAAATTAGGTAATCATACTTACTTGAAGGGACAAGTCGATGCAAGAATCCTCACGCTTTCTCGTTTGACCTACAAAGAAACGATGGCCATTAACGTCTGGTAAGTTCGAATTGAGCGTTTGACGTTTGGGTATGATTTTTTTTCAGTCTCAATCCTATAATTGTTCAGAGCAGAATAAAGCCTCGTGAGGAAATAGTTTTACTTATCGCAATGAAATTCATTGCCGCATGTTATTCTTGGTCGCGATACTGACCAGATGTAGCGGAAACACTGAGTGTAAACAATTGCCTGTGCCAAAATTTAATATTGCTAATCAAACAAAGGTTTCAGCTTTAGTACACATAGACGATGTTGGAAAGGAATAAAAGAACCAAATTTTGTTTTGCTCAGCGTAATTATAATTGCACATTTTTTTACATATATTTTAAAATCCTTTCGTTTATTAATAAATGAACAAAATTTTGTGTACCAATAAACCAAGTCGATTACTTAGCTTGAAGTCCAAACAATATCAGAAAAATCAACGCTCATTCATTCAAAATAATATCAAAGAAATTCTAATTCTGTTAAATTATGTTCATCGTAATTTCTGAGAACAATTTTGCCTCGCTCACCTGAAGGATTTACACGAGGCGGACAGCGGATGTTCGAATCTTGGCTCAATTCGTCTTCTGTTGACCAAAATTAAGGCTTTGAATTATAATTTATTATCAACATTTGCAAGAAAGTTAATTATCTTATCTAAAAACATGAATAACCGCCTATCACGTGACGTATTTTCCCAAAACGTATTAAAGTCCCCTCAAAAATTTCTTCGTCTGGCGGCGAACGTTGTTTCAAATCAAACTGTAAATCATATTATCCTATGATATTAGTTAATTTTGTATGCAGAACAAGAGGGTAAAATGATTTTTGTGATCGGATGAATAATTCATTATTTGAAATAGGATTAATGAAAAATGAATGTGGCCAATATAATGGACAGAAGAGAATCTATTACGAGTAGAATTACTACCTGTACAATGATTTCCAACGATTTTTCTTTAAGCGCATTTGCAATTTTAAAATAATTTTAATTTCATTCATATTCATAAAATATTAAATGACATGAAGAAGCTTTCAATATTACCAGATGATAATACTAACTACCTAAGAATATAACTCAATTGCTTTTGGTTGTTGTGTGTAATTAATCCATCTTGCACTGAAAGCTAAGATACTTACGGCGGAGTCCTGCGAATAGCCGCCTCTGTTGGCTCTCGTACTGATCATCGTCGTAGTCGAAATTACGGCCGTAGTTTGAATTAGGCTGATGCTGTCCATGCTCCTTCGCTGTCCTTAAGTTTAGTTGTGCTTCTTCCAGCTGCCTCATGACTTTGAGTTCTTCATAAGCTTCGTGAGCCACCAAAGCGTTGATTAGCAAGCTGATATCAACATCCTCCTGGCTCGGGTCAATGCGTTGCCTGTTTTCCTGTTCACTTCGTTGCCGGTAATTTGATACTACTCTTGAAGGCGAATTTTTCTTCGCGTTTAGTCTGTAGGTTGGCTGTGAGTCGTCAGGGATAGCATAGTCGTAGAGTTGGTAGGAGAACGTTTCGTGGAAGGAGGGTGACCTGTCACTCAATCTCGAACGACCTGCCCCAAAACGAAAACTTATGAGCTAGGATATCTTACAGAGTAAATGATTCTAAACGATGGTAATATAGTTCGCATAAAATATAAATCGTCTTAACGCACGATGGGCATTACACTGAACAAACATTTCTTAAAGACTTCATTGCAGCTTATAGCCACGCAGTTGAAGCGTTGTCCAACGAAACGCTTTAGTAATGTATCCCGCAAAAAGTACATGAAAAATGTTCACGTACTTCAAAGAAATATGCTCCGAAATTGTTAATTGCAAAAAATATCCCACAAATCCTCATGACTATTGCTGTGAATAAAGTGCGAACGCGGTGCATCTGCATCTGGTGCACACACGAGATCTGATCCTGGGGCGGGCGTACGCAGAGCGAGCGCGTGACAGGCTACGAGGCAGCGCCGAGTCGGGAGCGCGGCAGTCATTTCAAACACCGAGATACGACGCCCACGCGTCCCTGACAACTCGCTCATCATGCCGCACAAAACTAAAGCAGCAACAATTTAAAGGAACTGTATCGGTGGCTCAGTCACATCTGCTCCGACAAAACACACCTACTGTAGCCACCTTTATTTCGCAACCCTGTGTAGAAATTTAAAGTTGAAGCAGGAATGGCCGGCCATTCATTTGCCGCTCATTGGGGCCATGTACTGCTTTCATAAAGGTAGTTTATATGTTTCAAGGGCTTGGATAGAGCCTTGACTACCTTTGTTTTGCTGAACCGAAAGCGATTAATTTCAAGGATTAATATAGTTAGAAAAGCAACTTCAGACTCGAATATAATTGGCTCTCTCTATTTTTAGCTATATGAAAGTAACTGATTTATGAAGCATATCATTCATCATTCTCCAGCTTTTATCATTCAAGGTAAATTTTTTAAGGTTCCTTAATATCATATTTCTTTATTTGCATACAATTTCAACATCGTTGGAGAGAAATATATGTCGCACAAACCGGTGTGCGCGTCCTTTAGCGCTGCACCCACCGGGTCTTCTATCAATTACCACTGGAATGGCTGCGACATCGGCAGGAATTTCCCTCCATTCCAGAGTTCATCTGCCTTCTGAGCAAAGTCTCCTCGCCTAGGCTTAGGATACCAATCTTAAAGCGCGCAACTCCGAATCACATTAAAAAGTGGAGGACCCTGCCTTGGGAACTGCGTAGTTTGACGCACAAGACGCAATTTCGCGCTGAAATGTTCAGCGACGTAGCTACTGAATCTGGTCCATCTTCAAGGTCGTATTATATATAGCTTCTAATTTTGGAAAACAAATGCGGGGAATGTTAGGCATCTGGATATGGAATTCTGGGATTGTTCACATGAATGAACTGTTTTCATTCATTTGTAGCGGTATACATCGACCTTCCATTCATAAAAAAGTCGCATTCGTCCACATGTTTCTTCTTAGGAACATGAATTGAAATAGAATTATTTTCGGTCAATTGCCTCCTTCCTGCAGAAATAATCGCGGCCTACGGCTGACGGCAGGTGCAATGATGCTTGACAGGGAAACTGTGGATATGGAAGCGGCAAATGGCCCGACACAAGAATAAATTGTCGGCGAAAAATCAGTGACCAGACTGCAAATACAGGGAGATTCACGGAAATTTCCAGATTTGAACAAATAAATAAATGATCACAATTTTTTGTACACTTATAAACTAAGTCGATTACTCAACTTGACGTCCAAACGATATCAGAAAAATCAACGATAACATAAAGAAAGAACTAGTAAAGAGATCATTACAATGTAAATTTTTTGAAAAAGACACTACCTAGATTTTTGTATTTTTTAATTTTAAAGATGACATCGAACAAATGGCGGCCTCCATTGTCAATGCATTCAGTTAGTCGATTTTTTTCTGTTTTGTTCAACTCGCTGAAGCATATTGACGGGTATGTTGGCGATGGATTGGCATATGTTGTTCTTTCATTGAGGTAGGATCCTTGAACAGTCATTTTAGACAATCGATTTGAGATAACTTGCCCTAAATGTCTTCACCCACGTAACAATCAATTCTGGACCTGATCAATCAGATCGGGAACCAGACCTGAAGGACGAATACGGAACCGAGTATGGAATGCTTTTTGGGTAGCGATAATGGGACGGCCATTAGAAAAGTACGCCTTTGCAGCAAACGCATGGTGCTCACTTGTCCAATGCATATAGGCGGTAAACAAAATTTTATGACCTTGCTTTTCATATGGAGTACTCTCCCGCTCTTTTCCTACAACATATAGCTGCTTGGATCAAAATACAAAACAGGAAGTTTCCGTGAATCACCACCCTGTTAACTTGCGTGATTAGGTTACTGTAATATTAGTATTTAATATAGATCTTATCACAACACACCACTTCATTTCTGCGATGACTGCAGACGATAAGTTTTCAGTCCGTCACCCTCTTTAAGGCACATCATTAGTACCTGTATATTGGGCTTTGGACGCCGAGTACAAATATATAAGGCACATCATTAATATATTGGGCATTTGTACGCCGAGTTTTCTGGCATGAGCCACCAATCGATGATGCAAGCTACTAAACACAGCCGACACTCAGGAACAGGAGCATGAAAGTGTCAACCCACGCTAATCTAATCATCAGTAAATTACATCACAGACCAGACAGCATCCCATAATTCACGTTTAATTTAAAAATTCAGCATTGTCAGTGATCTTATTGGAGTCCGTTCATCGAGTTTTAATGCGCATTCACAGCTTTGCAATTCTGGTAAATCATTTTTGCTTGCTTACCACATTTCTCGGAAATGCATGAGCGCCTACAATCTTAATCTAGTGAGCGCACGCGAAAGTTTAGCGTCATTCGATAAACGATTCAATCTAATATAAAAAACTTGAAAGCTGACAATGGTAGGAAATTACCACTAATTTTGATAATATTTCTTATTTTTTAATAAATCCATTCAAATACTCAGAAAATATTGTTTCATTAACAGAAAGGAATGTATACCTAATTTCGAAAAATGAATTTATTCCCAATAAATGATCGAAGTCAGTCACTGCGATTGTCCATGATATTGATAAAGCTTTTGCTGTTGGCTTGCAAGTTCTCTGGTTTGGGGTCGAGAGGACCACAAATAAGTATTCGTGATTCATCACAGAGTTTTTGGTTGAGATGGATTAGCTTTGTATTTGTAAGTGGGCATTCATGCATGCCATCAAGGCACATAGCCAACAAAAACTTTCAGCAGAATTCAACTTAATAAAACAACATAAGAAAGTAACGATATTTCATTTAAAAGTCTATGTAAAGCTGTCAAGTCTTCATCATCTTAAAAATTTAATACGCGTTTCGAGAGACCACGACGACTGTCCCATTTGTTTCTATTTTTAACGAAAGGAAGAGATGATTTTATTTCACTGACACCGTCGAGTATGAACGAGCATTGCAGAGGCAGTGATATTTCGAGTATTTCAATAGGCTATTGTTTGGTTTTACATGAAAAGGCGTCGAAAAGAAAACCGTATTGCAGGGATTTCACAGCGGACGTCTGCAGTGGAGCTTTCAAGGAAATTGAGCTTCTACACACCAATGCTCTGGCACGGACTGGAAAATTTTGCACCTTATATAAGCATATTTCATTTGTTTTACAGGAACAATTCTGCAACATTGACGTCCGCCGGATCACGGGCCAGTTGCGTGAGGCAGGCCGATCTACCACGTGGAGCGTGGGTGACCTTTCACCTCTGCTGAGCTGAAACGATCTGCCTTGCACTGCCGCTTCGTCGGTAGGGTTCACTTACATATATTCGATTGGTCCTAATTAAGCGTCTTTAACGGTTTTAAACAAAACACAACTTGTATATTAATTTTGTTCAAATTTCACACGCCAAAAAAGGCTTGGAATGCATTCCAGTTTACTTGCTCCGCAAGTCAGAGTTCATTACTCAGGTTCCAGAAATGATTTTCATGACTTGATGGATCTGTCAGGTATTTTTGTTGTGCGAATTAACACAGCTTTCAGAGAAGAAAACGAACGACCGATATTCGTCAAAGCTATATTCATCGCTTGATATATCCAGGTATAAAGTGACATGCAATTTTGGGAGCGAAATTCTTACCATTATCGAGGCCGTTCATTATCATTATTAGTGACAATGGTTTGGCATCGTCGAATTACGGCATTTTAACGAAGGTAACATTTACTCGGTTCCGTCACATAATTCCTGCTCATTGAAACGAATGGTGGGGCTAGACACGACCGTGCTCTTAAGGTCGATGGTTCTGTATCAGTAACAGCTTTTTAAGGCAGGTTCACACGACAGCCAGAGGTTGGAAGGCCGCGCAGTGACAGTTGTACCTGAGTACAATTGTCAACAATTTTATTTTCTTTTTGTTCATCAACCAATTTTTTCTCATTTGCGAAACTGTCTACGGAGAAGGATACCATTATTTCAAAAAGGTCATTCAGTCTATAGGGATTCATTAAAAATTCTTTGAATCATTTTGGAATTGAAAAGAATTACAATTAATTAATATTCAAATACATATAAATTTGTATCCATAGTATTTTCATTAATTTCAAATCTGTTGCAATATTAAACGTTCATCACACCGCACTATTAAACCGTTGTAATTGTCTACATCAACGATCCATTTACCAATTTAAAGTGTCAAGCTTGAGAAAGCATTAGTGCAAATCTGAGAGGCGTCCATTTCTTGCAGCCATTCATGCTACGACAAGTGTGCACTGTTTAAATAACTTGACGG